TATAAAATAATTTGAAGTGAAGGTATATGTATTATTACATCGACATGTGTGTTGGTTTGGTTATCTATGTTGTATTCAGAAATATTTCATTAAAAGTAATAAATAATAATTGATATTTTTTATGAAAATTTAGATGTTTTTTAGTATAATTATAATATTGCTTAAGAGGACGTGATACCTGCATGTGTTGTCTCTGTCTTACAAGTGCGTAACATAGCAAATTTTAAGCTCAGCAGAACACGTGTTAGCTCCGTTAGTTTAAAAATTAGTGCGAATTGACCTCTTATTAAATCTAAAGGTAAGATTATTATCTATATAACTTTTATACGACCTATTTTAAAGTAAACTTGAAGTTTTAATGTTTCTTATGTTATATAAGGCGAACAATTGTTTGCAATAACTGCAAGTACCTACTAACAATATATGAATAATAAAATAAACAAGTAGGTACTTTCTTTTTAATTCGGCTTCGGCGTCTTTATTGGACTAAAATAAAATTGTCTAAAAATAACATAAATTTGTCGATTAGTCGTGGTCAGTAGGTCATAACCACGATTATCAACCAGGGTCGTAAAATATATGAAAGATAAATATTACTCAACCGTAAATTTAGTAAACCTGAGTGTTCACCTTATTGGTGACATATTGTTATATTTTTGTGTATATTATAATTTCTAACAATTTAATTTTTGTAATTTGATTATTGTATTGAAATAATGATATTGATTTTGCTGAAATAAATAAATAAAATAAAATAAATAAATACAGTAAATTCACATATTTACATTCTAATATCGTAAAAACTGTCACAGTGCTGGTTTTAAAGCGTACCTCACGGCTATTATAATCCTGATTTTTAATTCCCTACAATAATTGGTAAGTCTGTTGGAAACCCAGAAATAAAAATAAAAACACAAATCGTATAGGTTCTACCTACGGCCAAAAGCAACGAAGGCGTGATTGGCACACGGTTGTTGGTGGTTCTTCTCAGGTTTGTGATAAGTTTAAAATAACGGCGGTAGATGGTACTGCTGTTTTCGTCGGAACGCGTCAGCAATAGGTATTACACAATAAAAATATGATGACAGCAATAAACTTTTTTTTTAAATCAGAGCCCTTATTATAAAAATTTATTACATAATTAGGTTTTTAAAAATTATCATTTTTCTAGGTTCTACACGGAGCGAGTGTATTTTTGGTTTCACTAAGATTTGTTTTTTATTTTTAAGTGTGTTATCATGGTTTGGACCAGAAAAATGCTCTTATCATGAACTCCGAGGGTTTTACTTTTTGGAAACAAATTGGATATAGTTGGAATTCCGAACGGAGTAGGGAAGAAATATTCTGAGTACTTTTCAAAATAGTGGGGAAAACAAAATAACATTATTTGACGAAATTAATATTTTTATTTTGTTGTAGGTAAACAAACAACCTTATATAACCTTATATTAACCTTTAATAACCTTATTTAAAAAATAATATCCATGGATAATTATTTTAATTTTTCACCATATATTTATATTATAATCTTCAAGACACGATGTAATTTTCATAAATTTTGAGCTATTCATAAACATTTGAAATATTTGAGTTCTTTAGTCTTTATTCGACTTGTTCATGTTAATATTTTTATTACTGAATGAATAGTTTGGCAACTTAATTCAAGGTTTCTCATTAGTTGTTCTAACGCTAATAAAAAAATAAATAGAAAATACAAGGATTTGAAAGAGTTTGAAGTTTTAATTCAAAAAACTTTTGTTTTATCAAAATTTGATATTAGAAAGAAAAATATCAATTTTCCTTTAAAAAATTTGTTTGTAAGTCAAAAAACATTAACCGTATGGACTTGACACTTTTTCCCATTTCATAAAATATTATTTAAATTTGTTGTGCATAATGAAATGTTTAAAATATTTACACTAATTTAAGAGTATTTATACCACGATCCTATTTACATTATTTTAATTTGGTACTTCGGTACTGACTTTGTTTAAATTAAACACAACAATAGGTATATTATGATATAATATAGGTAAAGGTAATATATGTAAGGTTTTCTGCAAAAATTAATCCAATATACTAATTTACTATTTACTAAGAGGAAAATAAACTAGTAACTACTAATACAGCAATATAAACAAATTATGAAATATCTTTAGAGATAATATAAAGGCTGACAAATCGTTTTCAATCATACGTATACAATAATTCATCATAAAATACGAATTTAACACATTAATTAAGTACAGCAAATGTCCACTCAATACAAGTACTCTTAAAACCAACAATACATTAGAATGGACCTACCCTGTTTATTTATTTTTATTGAATTTATCACACATTAACATAATAATAAGAAACAGATATATTTTAAATTAAAATAATTAAATATTTATATGTAGTCACATATGTATTTATTACATAGGAGGATATAATCTTTGAGAATTTTATTTGGTATAAATACATAATAGGTTTTTTTTTTTTTATTAAATAACTATCCGCGGCGTCTATGGCCATTGGATGTAACAGTACAATATTATCTTTAAGTATATTTACATAATATTACATTAATATTTAAAAGGTATATTATAAAGTAATTTAGTATTTAAAACAAGACAAAGTAGTAATAATTAGGAAAGAGGTTAGGTAATTAGTAACATAATAGGTTTATTATTGTACTTATTGGTAATATTTCTGTAAAATGAAAATACTTTGAAATTATATTTAGTGATTCAAAATATTTATCCTATTCTTTGTGATCATGACCTATTTACGCTAAAATGTACAAGTTCACAAAATATTTAGTAGGTATCAATTTACAGTCATGTGATTATTTACATTTTTTAATGTTATTATAACTGCTTAAAATTATTTGTGAGTACTTTTATAAGTCTAGGACCAATAAATTATGAAAAATGTTTATATTTATTTTAATCATTCATGTAAGCCTGCAGCTGGCTGAGCAATTTTTCCGACTTAAGAAGATAATAGTTTTTTCTTAGTCAGTAATTTTTTTTTTAATAATAAATATAAATATGTAACCACAGCCGAAGTTTTTATTGTAATTTAGTTTTAGATAGGTATTGGTATACAGTATACTGCAAATGCAGCGGAATGAATGGTTTGAAAAATGTATAATAGACAAAAATATATTATGAAACAATTGACAGCGTAAAACAAAAATATTTAACAAACATTTTTGCATTTTTTTTTCATATACAGGTTTATACCAATAATACCTATTGCATTTTAATTATTTGTAATAAAACAAAAACAGTTATAAGTATAGGATTTGTACCTAATTATAACTGATTAATCATTTTCTTATTGTGTAAAGTATTATTCTTTTCCATTCAAATTAATTTCATGATATCAGGTGGCAATTTATTTTTGTAACCAAAATTACGTATATGTACTTTGTTTGAGGTGGTTTTATCAAGAAGATATCAATCCGATAAATTAATTAATAATATAAGTCATTTAATATAGAATAAAATTATTTAAAGTCTAAATATATTTTCGGTTGTTAAAAGTAAATACAATAATTAAAACACGTGCGAAGATACGTCTATTTCTTAAATTATCTGACATAGGTCCACATTTCGCCACAATGTCATAAATCTTTGATTTCAGTAAAACACTTGGCATTCGATAATTAACAACTATAGACTATAGTTGACATTACCTATTATATTATAATATAATGTGATAATATATGTATAAAATTATATTATATAGATTATTTAGGTATAAGTATGTGTCATAACTTATTTCATGACTTTAGTTACCTACCTATATGTAAATTTAGCGAAATTCTTTTAAATAGTTCACTTATACTTTTATGTCTTTATAGTATAACGAATCGAATTGAATAAAGTGTTTATGCTTATAGTATACTTATAATTTACACGGAAAATATTCAACTATAGCTTTGGTTATGATTACACAACAAAATCGCTCAGGAATTTGTAGAAAAATATTTTCGTTTTGTGAAATATTATGATTTTTTGTTCGTTTTTTGTTTTATTACGATTCGTGCTATCAAATTTTTTAAAAACACTTAACTTACTTAGTAATATCATTGTATGTCCTCGGCTTATAGCCATTACTCATTATTCTTGGGTGGCAGTATTGTGCTAAACAGTTCCCACCCGTTCCCGGTTTCAAAAGGGGGGGGGGAGCCATTACTCATTAGGGTAAGTAATTCAATACTAACATAAATTCAATACTTGGTAATGGTTTATTTTACCTGAAAAATAAAATATTATATAACTCATGTCATTGGACATCTGTTATATACCTACACCTATTTACCTATTTTTGCACAGTTAGGTTTATGGTTATTAAATGTGTTCCATTCAAACATACCATCAAAGTATCAAATCTAACGTCGTTTATCCACGGCTTAACGTATATAGATACTATATTAATATTCTATACCCACGTACACTAAATTATAAGAACACAAATACATTTTTAGAAAAATGTTGACAACCAACACTGAATTCGGTAATTATTCGAAAAATGTTCATTTTAATGTTTTGGGATACAGATAAGACATGACAATATCATATAATAATATATTATGATAGGGACCCCTCTGATAAATCCCTCTGGATATTTTTTGCATGTCCCTTTTTTAATTAAAATTACACTAAATGCTTGAATTGCTTTAATTATGGTGGGGAGAGGCCCAAAAATTGAAAATAGCCCCCCCTGATGTTTTATCAAAACCACCACTGTTTTCAAAATCGTATGGCGTAATAACACAACACACTATCTATAAATATAAAGTAATGATATAGTACGTTAGGAACCGAAATACTGGATTCAAAGCAAAAGGGTGGGGTGTCCGAAATATCAAAAAAAAAAAAAATTCAAATACATAAAATATTCAATGGGTAAACATATAATTAATAAAAACATACGAGTCTATTATTGGTAGTAGTATATATTATTTCTGTATATTTGGTTATTTTAAGTACTATATAAGAATACCTTGTATATTGCTTGTCTAAAGTTAAGCAAATTGTGTAATTGCCGAGCTATAATAGTACATACTTAAAGCTCAAATTAAAAAAAAAAAAAACACATACGTTATCATTGCGTGCCAGCACAATAATAATATTATATGAGTGGGTATTGCGAAAAAACCACTATAACAACCACTGGATCGAGTGGTAAAAACATTTTGTTTACAGGTGTAATATAATTATTATTTTAATTTTTGTCACACGGCCGGAGGTGACGCGAAGTAGGTACAGACCTTAAAAAAAAAAATAATAATAATAATAACATAATACCGCCGCGTCGTTCCGGTAGGCATACACTTTTTTCGACGGTCATTGCGACAATGTCATTATCGGTTCGTCGGTCGTCTGCCATAGCCGAATCGCGAATAATTCCGTTCGTCATCGCCGTCCGAATTTCGCGAGTGTGTACGTGTGCTCGTGTCCTGATTCCTGTGCGGGTCGCGGGACACTCGCGACTGTCGGCGTGCTCGCCACCGGCAGTGTCCATTTATCGGTCGCCGGCGTCGCGCATGGCGCCCAACCCGTTCACGGCCAGGCTGGCCGCCCGCATCGCCATGTCGTACGGGCCCAGCGTCAGCTACATAATGCTCATCCGCGTGGCCATCCTGTTCTTCCGGCCCGACATCGAGGACGCCGATCACCGGCTGACGGACCGCCGGATCGCCGAGATCAGGGATAAGTACGACTTCGTAGTGATCGGCGGTGGTTCCGCTGGTTCCGTTATGGCCAATCGTCTGTCCGAGAACGCCAACTGGACGGTAATGAAATAGTATTACAACGACGGCTCTTAATCATATTGTAAAGATTGAATGGTGTCGTGATTGAGCAAAAAAAGATTTTAAATAAAAAACCAAACGATTTTGAATAATAATAACTATACTTTTTGCTTTTAAAAATCCGTCATGTTGGGTAATATAATTTAAGCGTCTGCGTAGAATGATGATTAAAACCAACGATCAATGAGAGCGTAGTGGCACACAGTGGCCAAAAAATTCGAAAAATTTAAAATTGAATGCTATGGCATTTGTTATCATAACTGGTATCAAAATAGTTTTGAAATGGTTGGGGAAATCTTTTTTTTTTATTAAATAGATATGAAAATGTAAATTCTGTGAAATTGAAGACAATAAGTAAATTTGATGTGAGATTATAAAAACTGGAAGATGTGATGGGAGTTGGACACAACTCAGAATGAGGATATCTTATGAAAAAAACAGTTCAAACTAAATGAAAGTGATTAGCCAGTGACGACTTATTTTTGTATTATTGACAACCTAGAGTAACAAATTTGAATAGGTATCGACGAATATCAAAATAAATTGATAAACACTACAATAACTGTATATTATTTTTATATAAATTAAAACTTTAATATTTTATTATCCTTTCGTTTATAGTGGTAATTCTAATACAACGAAATTGATAAACTGTCAGGTAACACCATCGTAATCAGTTTCGTGTTGGGTATACAATATACATATTATAAATATATAATATAATACTTATGTTTGTATTTACAATAAGATTTTCGAACTGATAAAATATTTTTTTTAGCGATTTTAATGGTCGAACGAAACACGACTATCACAAAATGGAACTTGAGTCGTATTGTACATAATAATATAGTGTACATTATATACATAGTGTCAAATGTCAATGCGTATCTATCTTTTTAAACATTGCGTGATGCGATTGTTTAACGTGGTTTTGAACTAGGTTTTTAAAGTTTCTTTAAGATATTGTGTATATTATATAAAAACTGTATGTTATTTCATAGTAACCTACCAAAAACGTTAAGGTTGACATGTACGATTAGGAATTAGGTATATGATTGTTTTATACACTGCAATATTACACTAAATTAATTCCTTTTTGTTTAAATTTAAACTTCGTATTATCTATCAAACGATACGAGCAATATCTTGTAACTTTAATGTCACTGTACAGTTTCAGGCGTTCAGTGTTATTTGATTTTGTCGAGTCGCCCATAGAATTTAACTCAATATCATCTCTATTTTAAACACATTAAGTTAAGGTAAAACATGTTCTGATTAAATACATTCTTTTCATTGGAGGTTAAATTATGTAATATTTAAATTTACTTCATTGTTAATAATTATTTATAGTGAATTTATTCGGTTCACAGACATTACTCTTTCATACTGAGCTATGATAACAATATTAGTGACACACAGTTATGACTTTATGAGATAATCGTTCTTGGTTTTTATTATTAGTTATTACATATTATATTATAATTTAATATGTATGAATAAAAATGATGTTAATCGATAAGACACTGAAAATTTTTATTTTTATTTCATATAAATATAATTTGATTATATTTATTAAAAAGTTCTACAGTTATAACTTACCGGGAACTTATACTAAATTGTGTAAGTTAAGTTTATTGTATTTTAATTAACTCTTTAAACGTTATTTTGTTTAACAATAAAATATAAAGTTATAAGAAAATGGTTTTATATCTAGTTTCTTTTAAATATTTTTAATATGTTGTGATTTATATATGCGTATAATATTGTAAATAAATTCATTTCAATTTTAAAGGACCAATAATCAACAAAAATTATACCTATCTATATTATATTTTTTATTTACATATACAATTATACAATTTCAGTTGCTGTGAAATATAAATATAAAATACTCGAATCATCTTATTACAAAATATAGTATTATTAACATAATATTATAATATAATATTATTTTGGTAGTTCAAGTTATAAATTATACAGATACTTCAGAATAGAAAAATTCTTAAACCTTCGTAATTATCAATGTTTTCTATTTACCAATGCGTTAAATTGCTATTAAAACATTAATCGTATTCAATTTGTAATTGGTAAAAATGCAATTTAAAATACAATTACACACCGTCTACAATTGCATATATATATATATATGTACGATTTATGAAACGATCGTAGGTAATGAAAAAATATGTATCTAGAAAGTAAACTAATACTATAACAATTAACAAGTATAATAACAATCGTTCTCGTTTGTTAGGTTCTATTAATAGAGGCCGGAATCGACGAACCAGCATTGTCAGATATACCATTGCTGTATCCTTCCCTGCAGCGTACGTCTGTTGATTGGCAGTACAAAACACAACCCAGTGATTCGTCTTGCTTGGGCTTCAACGGGAACCAATCTAGCTGGCCCCGAGGCAAAGTCATCGGGGGCAGCAGTGTCCTTAACGCCATGTTCTATGTCAGGGGCAACAGGAAGGATTACGATGCGTGGCAAGACGCCGGCAATGAGGGCTGGGGTTACGAGGACGTGTTGCCGTACTTCATCAAGTCCCAGGACATGAGGATACCGAACCTCGTGAATTCGAAGTATCATGGCACAGGAGGATACCTGAGTGTGGAGCATTTCCGGTCGCACTCACCGATCGTGCACAGTTTTTTGGAGGCCACCAAGGAATTCGGTTACGACGAAGTTGATATAAATGGCCAGAGTCAGACAGGATTTACGCGATCTCAAGGTACTTATTATATAACTATATGTGGTAGGCACCAGCTGAAACATTTATTGTATATTTCCGATACCCATGTCGGTTTTAACTTTTGCATTAAAAGTCTTTGATCAGAATATACAACACGATGATTTTTTTAAAATTTATATGAGTTTAGGAACTCTAAGAGATGGGTTGAGGTGCAGTACAGCCAAAGCGTTTTTGAGGCCAATTAAAGACCGTCCAAACCTTCACATCAGCTTGCACACGCATGTTTTAAAAATCGTGATCGAAAATGACCGGGCCACGGGCGTGTTGATATCTAAACTGGGGACCATACCGACGCTGGTGAGAGCCGAGAAAGAAGTGGTGCTCTCGGCGGGCGCAATTAATTCGCCTCACCTGTTGATGTTGTCCGGAATAGGGCCTGCCGATAAGATACGTAAGGCTGGTGTCAAAATCACCAAACACATACCCGGTGTGGGGCAGAACCTGCAAGACCACATTGCGATGGGCGGTGTCACATATTTGTTCGATTCACCTGATGAATCCAACCCCCTCGGTCTGGGCATAGTCTTGCCGAGAGTGTTGACTCTCAATTCATTAATCCAATTCTTCCGGGACAAAATGGGACCTCTCTACAGGATACCACTCGGTGAAGTCATGGGTTTTGTAAACACTCGGTGAGTAAGCTTTCGGTTTGAGGATTGCAATAGATACCTAAAGATCAAAATCCGACATAGTTTTCTAGCTTTTGGTTTTGTTATTTTATTATTATTATTATTATTTTATATTATGTTTTTCCCGTTACAGCTACAACGATGATATCGACTGGCCGGACGTTCAGCTGTTTATGGCAACTGCCGGAGACAACGACGATGGGGGTCTTTTGAACAAACGGGATGTGGGTATCACCGACGCGTATTACGAGCAAGTTTTTGAACCCATACTATACCGAGACGCTTTTACGATAGCACCGCTGGTTCTGAGGCCACACAGCCGAGGCTACATAGAGATCACAAGTTCCAACCCTTACGCGGCGCCGAAAATCGTGCCAAACTACTTAAGCGACCCGCGGGACGTCAGAACCATGGTGGAGGGTGCCAAAATTGGATACGCTATCAGCCGTACAGTGGCCATGAGCAAGATAAATACCACTTTACATAACATCCCCACGCCAGGGTGTGAGTGTTACGAGTTTTTGTCCGACCAATACTGGGAATGCCAGGCCCGTCACTACACGATGACCATTTACCACCCAGTCGGCACGTGCAAGATGGGCCCGGTGGACGATGAGTATGCCGTGGTGGATGAGCGTTTGAGGGTGAGGGGCATCAGGGGCTTGAGGGTTGTCGACGCGTCTATAATGCCTACGATAGTTAACGGAAACACCAACGCGCCAACGATTATGATCGCGGAAAAGGCGTCTGACATGATCAAGCAAGATTGGGCCGGACACACGCAAACATTTAAGGCACGGTATGTCAAGAAGACGGTAATGAGATGGTGGTAAGCCATTGTCCAAACATTGAATATTGGGCCAACGTGATTGAAAGATATATTTATAAAAATGGAATTTAAAGCATGAAATTACTATCGATATTTATATTGTCTACATACCGAACCGTTAATCGCGATTACCATAGCATAATATTGTATATGTACCTATACCTACCAATTAATACGGATGCAATTTGTATTGTTCAGTTACATATTAATACATTTTTACTAATTATTCATATAATATGATAACGCCAAGTGTATAACATCTGTAAATCGTATAAATTTACGCTTTTTATTAATATCATTATTTATCTCGGACACTGAGGTCGTCAGGGATGATTTAAAAAATATAATTTTAGTGAATTATTATTTTATACAACTAATACCATAATATCATATAAGTATTATTATAAACTATTGATAGTTTGATTTTAAGTGTATAAACTTTTTGTTATTTATTTGTAATAATTATTAAAATATTATAATTATATATTGAAAACCAGTCATAAATTATGAATACTTTGTTACTTTGTGAGTTAATAGGTATACTGAAAGTAATGCTATATTATGTATGAAATATATGAGTATAATGTATGCTATGATATTATAATAATATATTGTATGAACCTACATTATTATACATAAATGTTAATTTTAAAGCGGTATTTCAGAATGTATTAATTATTAAAGCGTATATTCGATAATGGAACCACAAAGATTCATACCGATCGAATTTAATTTTCTGGGGGTTCCGTGATCACAGGTTATACTTTTTTTAAAAGCCTATTTTTCATTCATGCACTCAAAACTGGTTTCTAGAGAAGTCGTTAGTCGTTCGACGGGCCACGGGGATATCCGAAAGTAAAAAAAAAAAAAAACAGTTTTTCTCCTTACGTTTTTACTTTCTTATATGCCCACTCTGCAGATTATTATGATCATAACACTACACTACTGGACTTGAAACAATAGAGAAAGTTGATTGGCCACGGGACATCTAAGCGCCAAGTCGATACATTATATTTTCAATCGATATTCGTTGATATTTTTCAAGACCAGAAATCGAGTTCAGTGTAGAATAAATGTTCGAAGCCTTCGGTTACCGGTGAAATGACTGCGCCGAATAATTATATTCGGATCGTCGTCGTAACTCGACTCGTTTCACTGCTATACTACAGCACTGGCACCTAAATCACGACATACGCATCCGGCGGCCGAGCGTGTGCTAAAATCCGCATTCGCGTTTGTACGTAAATATTTGTCTTTCAGTTTAAATCGGCGCCACACGCAAACGTCGTAATATACGTTTATTATAATTACACATCACTGGAAACGACGACTGCCGATAATGACGTCTTCCGGCGGAAGTTGCGAGTGCTCGTGGTCCGACTCGTCGTTCCTGTCCGGTTCCTGTGGCAACACCGGCGGCCTGGCGTTCTTCATGTCGTTGGTGGACCTGGTGATCCGGTCACAGTGCTCGGTGACGGACCCATGCCGTCGGGCCACCGGGCGGCGGCAGTTCCCGGCCGGTCCAGTGTACCCGGAGGAACTAGACTTCGTGGTGGTCGGCGGCGGCGTGGCCGGTTCCGTGGTGGCGTCCCGGCTGAGCGAGGTGGCCGGCTGGACGGTGGGACTGCTGGAGGCCGGGCCCGAGGAGCCGTCGGCCACGTCGGTGCCGGCGTTCGCGTCGGCCGCGATGGGCACCGACCTGGACTGGCGGTACCTGACCGAGCCACAGGGCAACGCATGTCTGGCCGCGGGCGGAATATGCGCGTGGCCGAGGGGCAAGATGTTGGGCGGCACGGGGGCCATGACGGGCATGATGTACTCGAGGGGCCACCGGCGTGTGTACGACGAGTGGCGCGATTCAGGGGCAGTGGGCTGGGGCTACGACGACGTGCTGCCGTACTTCAAGAAGTCCGAGCACAACATGGAGGCCGACATGGTAGAGCCCGAGTACCACGGGTTCGACGGTCCCGTGCCAGTGCAGCGGTTCTCTCACCATCCCGAGATGGCCGAGTCCATCGTGCAGGCTGGCGTCGAGCTGGGCTACAGGACCGGCGACCTCAACGGACACAATCAGACTGGTACGTACAATACTGTAATGGAACTAGTGCATTTTCTAGGTTATTAATGTGAGATAATTAAATACAAATGATATCGTTGCAGAATAGGTACATGAATTTATTATTTTGGAAGAATTTAGAGTCTTGTGATGACTGCTTTGCTATATATTATAATAACATATAGCGTACGTGTGCGTGTGAGTGTTTTGAGGGTGGGGGTAGTCCGTATAGGTATTATTATAATTTCGAAATAATCCCAAATAGTATTTATGATTATTACTTATTTTGTACGTGCTCGTGATGCCTTGCTGTAATCCAAATGGTGTAAAACCTGATTCCCCCAAATCCGATATCATGATTTGTTGTATTATTAATAATAAAGTATGCCGTCGGAATTTGTACGTCACATCCAACTGCCAAAGCACAAATTGTACTTCCGTAAAGGATCAACTTCGTGATATAATTATATTATACATAATAAGGAATAGGAAGTTGATACCACAAAAAAAATTGTAAAACTAAAATTTATTCGGTCTTCATTAATATTTAAAAAATAATGATTCATATAAAATAAATATTATGTTCTAATCTGTAAATTAAAATGTATTAAAATATTTAAAATAAAAACAACGAATGAAAGTTTTATGAAAAGTAGTTTGTCGAGATATACAGTGCCTTATTTTTTTTTATAGGTACGAGTTAAATAGTATGTGAATCACAAAATAATAACGGTACGTCTCGCCAGGACGGGGAAACACGTGTAGGTATAAGCTTTTTAATTGTGTCCATAGACGACAATATTATATCTATATAGCTATATATTCAAAACGGGTTTATGGTATTTGTTGCATTGCCATTTTATACAAACATATTAAATTCTAATATTTGAAATTATCAGTTAAAAAAGTATCGAAGTATTTCTGACCTATTTATTAAAAAGGCATGTTCATATATTTTGTACAGCAATTCAAATGTGTATACAATTCTAACACTAATACACAATGCAACCTTGCATTCATTAGAATAACTTAACATTTTAAAATTATATTGATGGATTTAAAATATAATTTTGCATTAAATAAATCCTATAATGTTACTACTACGGTAAATATCATTGAAAAAAACATGTTTAATGTTTTAAAATATATTTGTAGCCTATTTATTGCCCGTACAAAATAACATACAAGACAAATAACGGAATTATTCATTTCCGAACCTTATAATGGAACTAAATATATGTGTCAAATGTCCTAAAGCGCCAATTTCTCTCGTACCAAAAATCATTATAGTACCTATAATTTGAATCTTTTATTTCAGCACATGAATATATGAACGTGCAAGATTCTCTCTCTATAGCTGATATGTTCAATTTAGATAATTCAGTTGCAATTTGCAAATGACGACACGAATTTGTATAATACGTCATGGTAAACATACGTAGGAGGGTGCTAGGAAGTAGGGTTGTTACTTGTTTATCACTTCTAATTTGAAATACACGATGTTTACTCACTTTAATAATATAAATATTTATATGAATTGGGGTTACAAAATATTATACAACTTAATCTAATACCTATCAGTTATAGATTTTAATAATTTCTAACACTGCATTTTATTAATTCAATTAAATCAGTATGTTTTATGAGGGTGGGAGGGGTATGGGCTTTAGTGTACTCGGACCTTATCTTTTTTTTTGGGGGGGGGGGGAGGGGGGGTGTTAATATTATCATACGAGTATTATGGAAGAGGTTGTTCAACCAAACGGCCTGGAAATAAAAAAATTATATTTATTGGATTATTTTTAATTAATTGATATTTGGTAACATTTTAACACAAATGGCATAAAGAGAATATTTTGATTGTGTTTTAGGTACTTATATGATAGTGGTTATGAAATACGAGTGTAATATACGTACCAATGAATTCGCATTAGACATTTACAAACGTACGTGCAGTCATATAGTTTGGCAGAAAATAACATAAATAGGCATGTCATATATGATAACTGATAAGTCTTATACTATTTTATCCCGTTTATTATTTTCGCGCTGGACGAAATCAACACATTTAGTACATGCCTACCTATGTAACTGCATTGCGCCATTGCCTGAACTTATACAGTTGTACACTTATACCTCTACCTATACAGTATTAGTATACCACTTACGGGGTGCTAATAGTTTTTGACGGGATAGGTATTTAAGTAACACCTGCGGGCTACGATATACATTCGTATAATATGATGTATTATTAAAAACAGTTTATTGGTCGATTTCGTCACAGAATTTCACACTATAGGCACAGCTATTATCGATGAAAATATATATGTTTAGCCAGCGGTGGTGCGCTGAATAGCAACGTGTTGTGTAGTTGAACGTTTGGTTTATTTTTTATACGTTTTCAAACAAATCCGACACGGTAATATACACTCGTAGTTCATTCGTACCTATATAATACGCTATTGTGCGTAATGCTTATTGTGATAGGAGAATGTAAAAATGTGATGCTAAATCGTACTATTATATAATAATATACAATCCTATTTTGAAAAATCGCTATGGTCTGACCACACATTCCAAATATTGAGAATTTTTTTTAATAAGAAAATGTTAATAGGTTAGATATTATTGTTATGTCTATCTCTTACTTGAAACAAGAAAAGCATACAAAACAAATATTTTTCTATTTTTAAATACCGATACGATGGTTGTGAGATTAATCTATCGTTTTGGGTTGTCCGCAGGTTTCTCCATAGCTCAGGTGATGGTGCATGGTGGTCTGCGGATGAGCACTTCGCGAGCGTTCTTGCGGCCTGCCCACGACAGGCCCAACCTGTTCGTGAAGATCAACAGCCGCGTTACCGGGTTGGTGTTGAATAAGCTAAACAACCGCGTGCAGGGCGTCAAGTACGTGGACCAGTACGGGGAGCACATGGTGCGCGCCCGGAAGGAAGTGATCCTGTCGGCAGGGGTGGTTGGTTCCGCGCACTTGCTCCTGGTTTCCGGCATCGGACCTGCCGAGGAACTGCTTCGGGCTGGTGTCACTGTTTTCCAGGATCTGCCGGTTGGTCGGAACTTGCAGCACCATGTGTCTGTCAGCGTAGCTGCCACGGTGAACGCCTCAGAAGAGGCCCATTACTTGACTATGGACGCGGTGTCAGAATTTTTGGCCACGCGTACCGGCCCACTGGCCAGCACAGGCCTCACGCAGACCACAGGATTTTTGACCACCTCCTACTCAGTCAACGGGGTGAGCAATATTTACTTAGGCATTAGGTTAGGTCGTCGAGTCAGGGTGGCAACGAGTAACCCGCTGTGAACGATAATGTCGACATTCTAATGTATACATTACCACATAAATCCAATCTGACGATCGACACTATAACTTATTTTTTTTTTAATAATATATATAGTGATTAAACAGTTTTCGTATAATGGTCGAAAAATATATACTTACGTATGTTTGTTGTCCGATACAGGTACCCGACGCACAGGTGTACTTCGACGGCCTTGCACCCAACTGTGACAAGATCCCCATGGATCCGGATGGTCCAGCGTACCGCAAGTTTGAGGGCTCGAGGGCGTACGTGTGGGCCAGACCGACGTACCTGTTGACAAGGAGCAAGGGGTTCATCGCTCTGCGGACCGGAAACCCGATGGACGACCCGATCATCCAACCCAATTACTTCCAAGACCCGCGAGACGTGCTGGCCATGGTGGAAAGCATACGGATCGTGTTGGCGCTGATGGAAACTCGGGCGTTGAGCAAGTGGGACATGCAACCAGACACTACGCCGTATGAGGGATGCGCGCAGCACGTGTATGGCACAGACGCGTACTGGGCGTGCGTGGTGGTCACGGACACGAAACCCGAGAACCACCATTCGGGGACTTGCAAGATGGGACCCATCGACGACCCGGAAACGGTGGTAGACCCGGAGCTCCGGGTACTCGGTGTGGCCAACCTGAGGGTGATGGACGCGTCCGTGTTTCCCACCGGGCCCAACTGCAATCCCATGGCACCGGTCATAATGGTGGCCGAAAAGGGCTCGGATATGGTCAAGCAAACATGGAGTGCATACGCGCACGAGAACAACGTGCCACCGTACAAAAAGCCAAGGGCTGCATGATAATATTATTATTGACACGTCGCATTGCTGATTCTCGTCAACCTGACCCATATGGACATGACGTGTATTGTGTATACACAGAGTGTAACAGAAATGTATGACAAATTAAATAACTTGTGTTCTAAACAATATTTTTAATTTTTTTTTTCAAATAATAAATAGAGTAAAAAAGTTTATATTATACGTGAAATACAATTATCTATTAACGAAGAATATGAAGAATCATTTTTCAGCGTTGATTTGAACACAAGTTATTTAATTTGTCATATCTTTCTGTTATTACCCTCTGTAGTCTGAACAGGACCAATTCGTCATTATTTATTCACTTTTCATTCTTGGGTGATGTGAAGGTATATTATTGTAATATATATTAAGTAGTCGATTACCGACAACACGCCACCTTTGGCAAACAGACATGTTGTAACTTTTAAGAATATATTTATTATTTGTGTTGAAAAATAAATTCTCAATGTAAAAATAGATTTCTAATAGGTATTTCTCTGGGCAAGTACACACTATTAGAATTTATTAACGGGTATAACTTTTAAGATGTAAAAACATGTAATGTTCACCAAAATCTTTGGAAATTTTATTTATTGTTTATTATACGTTTAAATAAGATAGAATGTTTATATTATTTATGTGTTTTTACAGTGTTCTAGATTTTTTCTGGAACTAAAATGTCTGAAGAAAAGTTAAAAAGGAATGAAATAAGAACAAAGAATACAATTTAATATATATTGTAAAAATCAAGAATCTAACAAAAGTATACTTTTAAAATTAACTATTAAGTACCTAATAAGTGTGGACAGTATTATATTTCAAATATAAGAAAATTGCTTGATAAAAAATAGATTTCGGAAAAGGAATAACTAGACTGTACCTACTATATAGTCTATATACTATGGTAACTAGACTTCAAAAGTCAGACAAGTCATGTTCTTCACCTAGGCTAATGATTTTTTTATGAACTAAGTTAAGTTAATATGCGTTAATTAAAAAAAAGTAAGAGTAAATTTAATGTTTGGTCAACGTAGTTAAGTAAAAATTAATACACAACCGTTTTAACTTTTGACTTTATCAAGTTGAAAAAACTTATTTTTTGTATATAACGATACTGGCCTATTTTATTTAATCAAGTCAAAACTCTGTTTCTATAGACTATAGTATCTCTCAAGTTTTTCGTCACCAAAAATAATTAAAAATTCGTTGCAATTACTAAGTATTGAAGCAGTTTAATGTTTATTTTTGGTTACTATATTAATACATAGTTAATATTATGATTTATAATAAGGTTAGGTTAACACGTATCACGGATCCCAGTACTGCCTTAATGGGCAACTTACGGTAGGTAATCGTGTAGGTATATAATTGCCGACTAATGTCAGTCTTTGAAAATAGTCTATTTTTAACACTGGTTTTGTGATTGCTATTTGTTAATTATAATTATTAATTTTTGACAAGAAAAAAAAGTCGATTGAAATGTAAAATAAAATTAATTTAATTTCTTAAAACGAAAATGTAATTCTTTGATTCCACGTTTATAAAAAAACAATAATCTTAAGGTAGTGCGTGGTTAAATTAACGGAGACCCAAAGGGAAAAAGTAACTAGTAAATGCCCAGTCTTGGTTTTAACCATTGAAATTTCTTGAAAAAAATATGTTACTATTTATTATAGACTATAGTGAATAAAATAAATAATAATATATTATACATTTATTATATTTCTAATATATATATTTTTTTTTATTGTCTATATTAGTATTGATATATAATATTATGTAGGTAAACTTATTATTTGGGATATGTTTGGTATCCCTTAAGTTTTGATTTATTGTTAATCTACCGACTGCAGCTATTTGTATAATATTATACTCAAATTAATATTACCTAATTAATATTATACTAACAGTTATGACTAATAAGTTATTATTACTATCGTTAGTCGTTGTCCTTTGTATGTAAAGTATGTGTGCACATTGATACAATGAATCTTCGTACTAAAATTCATCGAATTGTTAATTTATTTGGTTGAGACTGGACCCAGATGCTATGTTACATATTAAATAAATAACTATTTATAAATATAATTAATGTAAGACTAAATTATAATAGTTTCCCGTAGACATTTCGAAGAGTTTGGTGTTTCTCAACGCAAGCGGGAGTTGGGAGAAAACTATAGTACGTTGTGCGCATTCGTATAAACAATAAAAATAATGATTAAAAACAATTTGGGTCCAGGATGATCATCGGACCGAAACAAATGAGTTCAGTGTAATACGTCCTAGATTTACGTTTTTCGTTTAAATACATTTCGTCATAATAATAGCAAAATGGTATAGAGTATAGACTACAGGAACACAATGATGAAACGTTAATTTTTGGCCTCCGTTCCAATAATGTACCTATTTAAATTGTAGTTAGTAAGTTTATATTAACTTTAAGCTTAATTAAGCTTAAAAGATATCTAACAGCATGGGCGGATAGGTACTTTTTTTCTACCAGGATATATTTATTAGGGCCACATATTGTATAAAACAATTTAACTTCTTTTGAGTTTTATCGCTTTCATATTTACTTAACAAATCTTGATCCATTTTTTTCTTTTTGAAGCCCCACTTTCGAAATTTGGGTTAGACATAATTAATAATTATCATACATATTATTTAATAAATTAAACACAATTAGCGAAAAGCCACAGCCACAGTAGCTAATAAGAAAAGTAAAATAAAAATAAAAACATCTGATATAGTATTAAATAACATACCATAGGGCATTGAGTAAGAAATAAGAATAGGTAAATGATATAATTTTACTTGCTTACTTACTTTATAGTTTATACTGTTTATTTATGTTGATGTAAGAGAAAATGATATCTTGGACATTCACATTAACACGCATTGTTTAAAAATAGAACAAATCGAATTTAGTACGATACAAAGATATGCATATATACGTAGATAGTAGATACATCACACTTAGCTATCATTGATCGAAAAATTAATTATTATAATGTTTGTTTATTTTTGTTATTCGAACATCGATTATATTTATTTATATTTACATTTTATACATTATTTAGTTTTAGCACAATAGTACATACAACAAAATAGATATGTAATTATACAGGTACCGACGAGTTTATAAAGAGGGCCCTAGGCCCTAATGGAGTTTACAGATATTACAAATACGCATTAATACTGCACAGCCACCAAGTTGCCAGCCAGTATTATAAGAATTTACTTTTATATTTTTATTATTTTTTTTATTTTTCGGGATGGTGGCCTCTGAGTATAATATTGATGGGGCCTACCGGGAAATCCCAACTTCCCTATCCGCCCATGTCCAACAGGCAAAAAACACAAATACGGTATATTACTTTATCTTTTTTTCAATTTATTTGTTTATAAATGAATAATACCTAACCAATTTTAATGTCTTAATAAACGTACAACGGTCATTTTGTATAATTATATTATAATATAAGCATTAGGTCGTAATATTAAATATGTGCATGAACAGAAATAAGTCACTATTATACTTTTACACTAAACTTGCAGTATTATGTATACGAAAGTCTAAATGTATAATGCAACGTGGTGCTTTGTTATATTAAAAACAATAGTGAAAGTACATGTTGTATAAAAGTCTATTAAATATTTAAATATTGACTTCATAATACATGGATGTGACGTGTTTAACAGTATCTACTAGTAATTGAAATTGTTTTATTACTCAAGTAAAATTAAAAAATTGTATTTTATTAATTATTGTTGTTTAGAAGTAATCAGGTACTATGTGCCTACTGTCTATGTATGATGATTGGTGGTTATTAAGTCAACAAGTAAACTACCATAATTCAAATTCAAAATGTTAAAAAAAAACAATTTTTCCAAGTCTAATAATTTTCAACTAAATATTTAAAATGTATCGCTGATGCTCAAGAATGAAACAATCTTAAGATCATATCTTATCAATAAATATAATTTATTTACCTATTACTAAAATAAATAAATAAGCGATTAATATCTAAATACTTCGTCCTCGGATAGTATATTATAAAAAATATAAAGTATATTATAAAAAATATAAAATAAATATAATAATATAATAATAATAATAATAATAATAATAATAATAATAATAATAATAATAATAATAAGTATAATTAATTTTTTCTAATATAATATAATATAGAGTTTCTTCAAACTTAGAACCACCATAGGTGGTATAATGGTTCCTACACGGTAAAAAGATATGTATAAAGTTCTTACACAGAAAAAAATTATGTTGGTTCCCATACATAATCAATCGACAATCGTACACTAACCTAACATTAATCGTTTATCTGTGGTTCTTGAAATATAATAGCGTGGAGTGTTTTTTCAACACATTATCTTCCGTTTGATTACATATAATATTTAAAATATAATGTTTATTATAATATATATTATAAATTAATAACAGATACACAAGTAGTATAGGAACTAATGTAAGCCATTTTTTTCACCTTATAGGAACATCTATTATTATTCTGCCATAGTAACATGCACATTTATTTACCAGATAGGTCTCGTGTAAGAACTTTTATTCGCCCGTACGTTTGAAAATTTTCAGGAAGGTTAGGAAATTGTTAGGAAATTAAAAATGTTTACCTATTCAGTTAAATGCTGAAGTGTTACCTACGTAACTTAGTCCTATATATGCCTATTATTTATTTTTAGTCTATATAGATGGATAATAACTTATTAATTTATTAATAATAAGTGTCTATAATAACCCATTAGGAAACATTTGGAGAACTTTTTTTTACCAAGTGAAAAAATATAATACATCATTTTTATTGTAAAAAGGTGATTTGCTCCAAATCAGAATTTAATATTTCCATGTAAAATGTATGAAATTTAATTTAATTTTAGAATGTAAAATTTATAATAATAATGACCAAACCCACATTAATTTATAATGCATTTTGTTTTTTTTTTTTCATTAACTGTGAATGGTACCTTATAATATTCCTTATATATCATCGAGATCATAATTATAATTGAAATTATTTTTGTAAAATACTAACTCAAACCAGAATTATTTAAAATATTTATAAAGGCTGCTGTTTGTGTGTATTGCATTTGAAAATATCATTATTTTTTATATTTTACTTGTAGGTTTACATCACATCGTTTGATGGTTCTGTACTGGACAGCCTCGACCTCATAAATATAGTTTCATGTAAAAATTCGCCATAATTTAATCCTATTTGCTTTTGTTCAATGTCCACACTATGCTACAGATTGTACATTTTATATTTTAATAATAAAAAAAAAAAGTTTGGACTACAGATAACCTTATAAAATTTAGATCGGCAATAATAAGCAGGAAAAGTATAATATTTTGGTTAAAATTTTCTGTTAAAATTTCTTCTGAAGGTCACACATTGACACATCATAATATTATAGTTTTGAATCTTATCCTTTAAGGGTTTTTTTGCAATTTTAATCAAGGCTATCTACTACCTAAATCACTTACCAGACGGCAGTCTGTGTGTGGCTCACCACAATAATTGTTCAACTATATCGACACTTACTATCGTTATTCACTGAAGCAAAACTCCTAGGTCAAGTCTGAGTTAAGTGCAACTATTTGTTTTATTTATTTTTATTGATCTAGATGACTAGACGAGTGTGGTTAACACATATATATTTCGTTAATATAAGTAAAAGAAAATAATTTCTAAACTTTTATTACAAGATAATATGTTGGTCTTTTTGTATGATGCATTATTCAGTTTCAAGTTTAAACTTCAAACAAAAAATTAAAATAATATTAACAATTTTTAAATTAAAATAAAATTTTTGAACAGATCTTTATAAATAATATTGTCATTAGTATCTATTATACAGTATACAGATAACCGTCGTTAAATAATATAAATGCATTGCATTTTTAATAATTGGTGGTCAAGTGCCTTTTACTCATCATATAAAATAAAATGTTTTAATATTTTGAACTTATTTATTATAAAAGAATGAAAAACAAAAAAATGAATTCAAAGTATGTTGCCAAATATTTATTGATGCAATTTTAAACATTATGCAATATATTTTTTTGGTATTACTATTTGTGATATTTACCAAATATTTTACAGACAATGGTCTAGTTTATTGTTTATCCGTTTAGTAATAGGTACATTTTAAAAAAGAATAAAAAAAATCCCAAAATACCTCAACAACTCGAAACTGTTAGATATACAGTAGGTACATACAGAAATATATTATAAAATAAATAAATATTACACTGCATCTACAATTTTATAAAATATTTAGAGAGTAATAAAAAATATAATTACAACCTACTAAAAATGTTTTAACTTGGATCCATAAAAATACATGCATAATATACATAATTATAATTTTTATTAAAATAACATAGAATTATTGTAACAATAATTATTAAAATATACTAATAATACAATAATAATTTGTATACAAATAATTGTATACGTCTTAAAAGGGGTTTTTTTTAACAATGTTTCACAGTTAATTTTCACTGTCAACATATTGTATGGTTTTTAATTCATATAATTTAAAATACTTACACTACTACACTACACTAAATTTGTTTATTTTTTTATCAATTATATTTTTTAGATTTCATACTTTTAAAGTAAAAACCTAATTTTATAGTTGTAAATTTATTCTGTGAGTTTAAAAATGTTGATAGTGCATACACTGTTAGTTGTTACATTGTTACTATAAATACAATATATACAACTTACATTATACTATAATATTATAGATAATATAACGTAATATACAACACACATTACTTTACGACTTTCAAATTTCCATTAAAGAAATGTTGTATTAAAATGAAACCGATAAAATATGTTTTTTTCAAGGAAGAAATTTAAAATTTTTTACTTTACCTCTATAATTGATAGTTTAATGTTGGTGTTGGTTATCAAACAATGTAATATAAAATTTAGTTTTTGTCAATACTAGAGCACGTAACTATGTGGCTATGAATCATAGCCTATGATAGGAGTCAATTATCGTTTGTTGGTTTTATCGTGAATGTTATTGACACTTGGAGGGAAAAAAAATAGCACGCTTGGCTCAGCATACCAAAATGATCAATCTATATCGAGCAGATCACGAGGAATGTTTAATTTTTAATTTTGTAGAGCTTAGTTCATTAATTTAAAAAAAAATATTTTACTTGTTCATGTTTTGTGTACAAATTAAATAATTTTTCTAGTGGAACATTAAATACCATCAACGATATAAATCTAATTCTCAAGGTATGTAATAAATCATTTACTTATGACAGTTATTTAAGTGTTGTTCAAAATTCATAATTTTTAAAAGCGGTATTTGAAAAAAAATATTTATAAATTATTATGAATCATAGATTTTTAGATATATACTATTTATGAATAGTGTCTTAGAATTAACATAATTTGTTGAAAAATACTATTATATATTTTATTTCTGTAAAATATTTGTACCTAGTCAAAACTTACGTCTAAAATATAACTGTAAAATAATATAAAAATTGTAATGCTTGATTCATACTAATTTGTTAAATAATATTTCAAGATCAAATATAAATAGACAAGAACGTAATATACTAGTATTTTTCATAAAAATATTGATAAACATTTCATGTTTTAAGTTATTGATCTAATTAAATCGTCTAAACACATTTTCAAAATCCCTATGAAAATAACTGTTATAACATTGTCAAGCAATTATATACCATGTCTAAATATTTGAAATAAATAACTCAATTGTATCTATTTAAAAAAAAATAAATATAATATGCCCCTATTATTGAATAAGTAGGCTGCAAAGAAATTCAACTGCTGTGTAAATGTGCAATTGAACGTAAAAACCTTTCAAAAATAGTGTTAAACGTTATATTCTGTGTAAATTCTATCTATTTAGGTACATAATCAATTATGCAACGAGGAAAATATATAGAAATATAATTTGACACGGGTAGCCACTGGCCATTAGATGCATATTGGTCTAAAAGAATATGATCACCGTTCAATGGTTTTTGATGATACCTACATTTTTTAGAGTTTAGACAATGCGTTTTGAATGATTCGATATAAATGTGTTCGCACCTAGAAATAACAATAACGAAATAAGATATATTTTGGAGTGTTCTCAATTATTTTCAACAAACGAGATTAACCAGGTATAATCATGTACCGAAATGTATGCGCGGAATGTGCGTGTTTTATTTTACTCATAATTTTTTCTAAATTAATACATTTAGAATAAATACTAAACCGGTATTATTATTAGTTTACATTCTGGAGGAGCAATAAAAACATTTTTCAAAAAAATTAGCCAAAAATCGATTTTGCAAGCAATATCAGTTTTTGACAAAATTGATTTTCTTATTTGGTTGTATTCAAATCTTATGTAGTTGAAATTTCACTTAACGTTTGTATTACGATTTTCTACACTTCATGAATTTTTTTTCAAAATAAAAATAAACGTTGACTTTGAGCTATTTATAGACATTTGACATTTTCAATTTTTTTAAAATAAATATCGATAAAAAATGTATGCTAGGTTAAAAATCTTGAAATTTTAATACGTTTCTCATAATATGTTGTTAATTATAATAAAATTGTTTTCATAGCTATTCAATAATGTTCAAGCTACTTAGGCACGGTTCTTTTTTCATAAACATTTGTGGTTAAAATGTGGATGAAATCAGATATTTAAACGAAGAAAAACGATTTTAGTTAATTTGTGGTACCTAAGTATTATTGGGGGGGACTTGAAATGTTTATGTATGATATTAAATTTTCTAAACGGAATGAAATTTTCAAAACATTTATGATGATTTCATGGTATTGCCTATTAATTATAACACGAACCTATTCTCACCGTTCCATGGTAAGTGGGTATCGACTTAGAATTTAACAACAATAACATGAGTGTACGATATACATACATACTAGTATAATAACTAAATAAAAATAATAGATGCAATATTTTCGGAAAAATTAATTCAACCTACTGCGTATTATTAATAGTAAAATAAATTACTGTAAGTGTCATATAAATACATCATAAAATATACTTAGTAATATAATAGGTCTTCGCTCAGAACCGTTTTTTTAGTGTCTGTAATGATTAATCATTGAGTTCAAATTGAACACATATTAATTGACATACTGACTGATGAGGTATATTCGACACCTGCAGCTGCACTGCAGTGTTTACCTATTATTTTCCTATTTTCCGTTTTGTTTGTAACTTGATCGCGCTGTTCTAGATATAGCTGGACATCACATCATTCGACCCTTCATTTTTCACAGACTCCACAACTATGACGAAACACTATCCCACGCCGTTTACGCCCAAAGATTCGACCGAAATGTGCATGCAAGCTAGAAAGCCGTTGTCGGCCTGCCACACGGAGAACTTCGTGTTTCTCAGGTTCCTCATGCATCTTTTTGGGTACACCGTTGACGGACCACCGACGCCGGACAATAAACACGTACTACTTGAATCCGCGACGACGGATACACAGACCGAGTTGCATTTCTTGGATGGTTATCAACATCTGTTCGATGAAACATTTATGTCCGTGTTCCAGAAAAAGAGGCGGAAAAGAGCCACGGATGAACAGTACGATTTCGTGATAATCGGTGCCGGATCTGCGGGCTGCGTCGTCGCAAACAGGTTGTCGGAGATTAAAGACTGGAAGGTACCTTCCTTTTGTGCTATGCTAAAATATTACAGAAACTAATTATACCTACCCACTTTCGACTTAAAGGACCTAGAATCTCATATATTTCTTAAACCTACAATTACTTGTTCTATACTTGTAGGCACCCCCGCGCTTTATATTATTATATTTTGGTCTTATGGAATTATACTAGGGTCTAGGACCACAAAAACAACAGTGATGCAGTCAGGCCTAAATATTGAAGGGCAGTAGCGTCTCCATAATGTTTTCTGAAAAGTGCCATATAGAGGCTTGTTTCCTCATTTATTGCTTAATATAATTACATAGGTACTAATAATAAACAACACAATAATAGGGTTTTTTTGCCATTGAGTGTTGACATCTGTTATCATAGACTAATAAAAAATGTATATTTGTTACCATTGGTGCACTTTCTATCAACTTAAACCGATAGTAGAGTATCTAGCTCTGATAGAATTAACTAATACTTAAGTAGGCTTATCACTAAAAACAATGAAATGTTTCTTAGAGAATAGTATGTTAGTATAATACTTTGGTAAAATAACCTCTCAATCTAAATAAAATCACTAATAATTATGATAGGCAATATTTCATTAATTAGTGTTGTCTTTACATTTCGATAGGTATTACTCCTTGAAGCCGGGATCGAGGAACCAGAATTTTCTTCCGTGCCAGGTCTTGCCCCTTTACAATTAGGAAGCAAGATCGATTGGAATTATACAACACAGCCTGATGAACACATATGTAGGTCCAGACCTGGAGGTATGTGTGATTGGGCAAGGGGCAAAGTAATGGGGGGGTCAAGCACGATCAACTATATGATTTATACTCGAGGAAACATGGATGATTATAACGAATGGGAACGTATGGGAAATGATGGTAAGTACATTATAAAATGGTTGTAGGTACTCGTATAAATATAACTGCACGCTATACCACCAACGATATACATTAACAAATATTTCACCTGTATGAAATTCATACTTAACATATCATCTGTTTTTTAATATAGAAGTAATATAACTAAATTAATTTTGTCCAACTCCACTCTACAATACCCCCCCCCCTCCCCTAATATACAATATGTAAGTAGAGGTGTTGATACTACAAAAAAGTGCTTTCGTATTAATATATAGATTTAATATCACTATACCAGTATCTAACGAGCTGTGTTAGACTAAATTAAGTGAAACATTAATAAATGCATAATGACTTATTATTTTTTTTTTTTTTTTTATTGATCTTAAGCTTCGACAACTGAGGCCATTAGCTGTAGGTTGTGGTACTGTAGGGTTTTTGGGACTGTTGGGTTACTGTAGGGTTATGGAACACGTGTGTGTTTGTTTGGCAGAATTTCTAGTGGGCACCCGTAGGTTTCTGCCATACCCGGTTGGGGGATGGCGGCCTCTCTCTCAAGACACCGTGACTGCCCGGAGAGAAGTGCCACCCGTGACCGAGATTCGAACCGGCGACGGTGCGCGTTGCGACCGACGCGTTATCCACTCGGCCACTCCGTCCCCCGACTTATTATTTTATTTATAAGAATAAACAGTAATAATTGTATATTTATATAGTTCTATAAGAACTTATATAGATACATTAAATATAGATAATAGTATTAACCATTGAGACCTACTAATTGGCGTTTATTCTAATAAATAAAAATAAAATAAATAAAAAATAATTAGTCATTATGCATTTATTAATTTTTACTGCGTTTAGTCTAACACAGCTCGTGTATTACACTATTTTAAAATAATAATAAATATTTAATATGCAACAATAGGTTTTTGATTTTAATAACACAATTATTAGTTTTTATTTGGAAAATCTGAAATTTGTAATATTGTTTTATCAGTAAATCATGATATCTCATGTATTTAGTAATAGGTATAAGGAATATGGTAGAATGTTATTTATATTTTTATTTACATTTATATATTTTTTACAATAACTAAATATGACATAATGATTATCATGTAACTAGTAAGCGCACGATATTATCTTGTAGTTTGTGTTCAACTGACCTGCGTGAGAATCAAAAAAAAACTTACACACAACATTTTTCAATAGTTCGATATTTTGTTGGTACCGAAGTGTGTTCAAATCCGTTTGGGCTTCGTATCTCGGGGCGTGTCGGAAGAAAGTACCTATCATCAAAATTACGTAATACCTATATGGCCTATGGGAATAAGATGCTTCGTGTGTATTTATTGTATATCTAATGCACAGCCGTCAACATAGCTTGTTTTATTTCACTTAGTTCTTTGCTATTGCCAAGTGTTGGGAAATTAACAGTTACTTTGTTTAGAATGTATTTTCTCTAGAACGGTATCGATAAAGTATGAGATATTAATAAATACTTTTTAGTCTCAGATATTAGGTATGTATAATAATTATATGACAAATTTAATATTAAATTGTTATTTATTAAATATGACAAGCCCCCCCCCCCTAATTGTGCCTATGAATTTAAATGTGATTTTTATAGAATCTAAGACTCCAAATAATATTCTGCTTAGGAATATGAAATGTGTCTTTTTATACTTTTACACAGAGCACATAAATAAAGACACTTAAGTATTCAATTGCTATTTGTAATCTAAAGAAAAAGTTAAATTATTATACAATATAATAGAAACTTGTAAAATAAATATTTATAGCTGATATATTAAAACTGGTTTAAAGAAAAAAAATTTAGTTTAAAAGTTATAAATTATATTTTATTAACGAGACAAATGTCATAACGTTAAAATACACAAGTCACGCTAGGTATCAAAGAATTATTTTTAAAATTTTACTTTTTCAATATTATTGATGAAGTATTTTTTATTTTTTTGTACCTACTTATAATAAATTAATAAATATGGCTTTAATCTTTTCGCAATATACACAAACATAGGTACTATACTAATACATTTTTTCAGGGTGGGGATATGAAGATGTTCTTCACTATTTTAAAAAATCCGAGGATAATGAAGATCCAGAAGTTTATAAGAAAAACCCAAAGTTTCATGGCAAAGGCGGATATCTCACGGTGGAGTGGTTTCCATACGTAGACCCTACAGCAGTAGCTTTAATAAAGGTATAAAATATAGAACAAGACGCACTATAAAAAGGTATTATTTTTTAAACTCGTCAAAATTAAAAAAATAAGGAAAGTAAAGGTAACTTATCAGTACAGTTAGATACCGAGTGTATATATAGTCATTGAGTAGGCATTTCACTGTAATGCAAATGCATGTGATAAATTTGAATCCAATGATAAATCATTGCATACGAAAAATGATTTTCTGAGAAAGCTGACCTTCAATATTACTATGTATATTGTATGATATAATTATATTGCTATTAACTTAATACCTATATTTTACTATGAGTAATACGCAGTAGGTTGAATTACTTTTTGCCAAAAACATTGAATTTATTAATATATTATCATTAGTATTTAATTATTATAATAGTAACAATTTATATCATATATTATTGTTCTTAGCTTTTGAATAAATACCCACTTACCGTAGAAAGGTGTGAATAGGTTCGTAGAATAGACAATAGCATATAATTAATGCAAATGATTAGAAAATACCAGTCAGTATAATACATAAAATGTAATAGTATGTACATAAACGTTTCAAGTCCCCACGAATATTTTTTAATTGGAACAAAAAAACTAAAATCGTTCTAATTTGTTTAAATATCTAATTTCATCCAAATGTAAGGTTAAAATATATATAAACAATTGTGTATAAATATTTTTTAGATTTTTTTATTTTACAAGTATGAAGTACATATGAGAGACCTCGTGTCAAATTGTTAAGCTTTTTTGACTAAGTGAACATTTTTTTTTCGTTATTTTTAAAAATTAAATTAAATGTAGTATTTTACTTATGTTACTAAGTATTTTTCGCAGCAAGTGAAATTGAGGAATCATAAGTACGTTTTTGGATATAGAGACATGACAAAATACCTAGTAGCGTGTCACTTACATTTAGTTCAGAATTTACTGAATTAAGGATAATTATAGATTTACTTTTAATAAATATTTTATTTTTTTTTATTGATTTGAGTTTCTATGGCGATAGAAAAAATTTTTACCCAAAATTGGCTAGAAACATCGGTTAGAAAAAAAGTTGTATCCAGCCCAAATTTATACCAATTTTTTTACCAAAAAAGATATAAGCTATAAATCTAAGCATTTCGAATGCTCCAAAAGGTGATGAGTGATGACAGAATGACAGACAAAATAAAACACACACATCGTAGTAAAATCAATACATATTAAATTCATCGCTCAGATTACAATCTATCTATGAGTTAAATTTAGGTTAAATTCATATAGTGTCTATATTATATAATTTGATGTGATCCATACAATTCATCAAAAAATGAAATAAATTATGGGTGGTTATTAAGTGTACAAGTAATTATAGGAATGCGAATTAACTATAACGTTAAAATTGATTTTTTTTTTGTAATGTATGTTATCTTCTTAGGCATGGCAAGAGATTGGTTTGCATTATGTAGACGTAAATGCCGAAAATCAAATAGGCGTAACTCACTTACAATCGACAGCTAGGCACGGCGAACGAATGAGCACTAACAAAGCGTTCATAAGACCGATTAGAAAAAAACGGAAAAACTTAACGGTTTTAACAGACGCACATGTTATTAGGATATTGATCGAGAAGAAACGAGCTATTGGGGTGGAGTTTTTGTATAAGAAAAAAATTAGAACGGTGTTTGCAAAAAAAGAGGTGATTCTGAGTGCCGGCAGTCTAAACTCACCAAAAATTCTCATGCTCTCCGGTATCGGGCCCAAAAAACACTTAGAGAATATGAAAATCAAAGTCGTGAAGAACTTAGCCGTTGGGAAGAACCTACAGGATCACGTCACGTCTGACGGCGTCGTAATACGTGTGAAAAAAACCGCTACCGACAAGCCACTCAAAGAAAAAAAGGAAGACGCTGTTTTGTACAAAAAAAAAAGAGAAGGTCCTCTGGCGGCCACTGGCCCATTACAATGTGGCGTATTCCTTCAAACCAAGTACGCTGGCTGTAGTAAATATTACTAAATAATTAATGTTATACAAAAATCCTGTTTTGCATTGATGACATACGGCGCACACTAACGCAACACATTATTCGTTCATCTGGAGGAAACCATTATATTATGTTTATTTTGAACAATATTGCTTGCAGATATGAAGATTCAATGGATTTGCCGGACATAAATTATGCATTTGATAATGGCAACGAGAAAGATTGGATTATCGACCCTGCAAATGCCACAAAATTCGGTATGTCTCCTGTTTCTTATTACGAAGCGATTAACGTAAGACCGATTTTGTTGAAGCCAAAAAGTAGAGGATGTATATTACTCAACAAAACCCATCCAATTTGGGGCCAACCACTGATTTATCCACGTTTCTTTACGGAAGGAAATGATCTTGATATACTCGTTGAAGGTAATGTAAACATTATACAACTATTACCTATAAGTAGATATAACATAAATTAAGAGACAACCATGAGAAATTTTGGAAAGGATGCATACAACTGATGCATACATTAATATTGTATACTGAATATTATTATAAATTATTTAAAAATGCATATTAAAAATAAAGACATCAGTTGTTCATGATATTATGTAGTTAGGTGAATTTTGTTAAATATTCGTTTTCCTTTAGAACAATAATATTAAACAACTAACGAGAACTAAATAACTATTAGTTACCTATAAGATTGCCATTGTTAATGGGAATGTACAAATTATATAAAATCAATTTACAGATAGATATAATCTTTTCAAATACCCTGGTCCGGCACTCAGGTTATATTTATTTTGAACGACTTGCGTCCTACATTGTAGAACATGTTTTACATTCAGTCATAATATACTTCAATTATTGGTTAGAATAAATAGTTTTCTACATCATAATTAATTGACTATAATATGTAACTTTTAGCTTACACTTCTGACTTGATACTGTTTAAATAATAATATTAATATGATTCACATGCAATTACTTGCTACTATAATATAAATAATTAAATAAATAATACAGCAATAGTTGATTAATATAAGTTCAGCGAATCTGGGAAAATAAATCATTTTTCTAAAAGTAGTTTAAGTCAAATTACTCTGAGAAAGTTAATTCAGTGAAAGTTCTTTTAAAATATAAACTAATTCGAATAACTAAATCAATTTACACATTTTTTGGGAAATAATAGTTTTTCTTTTAATTACCTACTGTCCATCATATTATTTTGTATTAACTGAAGATAAACTTTGAGGTTTAGTGTACCTGTATAAGCAGTTTTAAAGAAAAATTTTTCCAACTGTATTTTATTATATTAGAGAGATCTAGAATAAACACATAGTTGATAAATTAAAAGAATCATTTATTAAATTTTTAATAATTAAATTTTCTTCAAAGTTGTGGACAAATGTAGATTCTAATGATCCTATTCTAGTTGTTGTTTAGGAATTGACTTCCTACACTAAATAATCGCTCCACTTGAACATTTTATTTTATTGTAATATTATTTTATTTAATAAATACATATATTATACTTAATGGAAATAATAATAATTTATTATTCATCGTAAAAAAGTAACCTATAACTTAATTTTTAACTTTTCACCAAGTTATTACCCAGACCTTTAATATTAAGTTGTTGTTATAAATAATTAGAAATCTAAGCTTATTTTAGTTGAGTAATTTTCAAATAGGTATCAATGTGTTACTATTTTAAGATCAACCTATTTTCTGTCAATTTAAATTTAAATATTTTGTTAAATGTCATCTTATAGACAATTATACCGAATAATATTTTACTACCGTAGAAATGGAATTAACTTTGTCACAAATTGCGTAAAATACAAAAGAAAAATAAAAGTACTAATTATTGTTACCACAATCTATTTTATACATTCATACAGGTAGATTAAAATAGAAAAAGTATCAACTACGATTAAAACGAAATTTAGTTCATGTTATCTACTATTGTTTCACTTTCGTCTTAAACCAGTTTTCAAAAATGATATTTCTTTTGACCACTCAATGAAGTAATATACGTACATTTAAATTTTAAAATAATATAGTTTATTTATGTAGTATAATATTATCACAGAGGTGTTTAATCGAAACATTTGCGAAACTGAACATTCGAACATTCGCTGAGGTAATTATACTCACTAGTAATTACGTAACGTTTTCGGCAACCGTCATAGTGTTTTTATCCAATGTAATAGTAACGATTTGGGTAAGTTATGTTCATCCTCTTAAACGGTGATTTGTACTAGCTTAATGACTGGTTTCTAGCGCTAAAATCAGGTTAATAGTATCCAGTTGACTAGCGTACAATGTACATATCCACATGTATGTGTGCAATATTATAATAAAATTGTTGAATTTCAAAAAGGCATTGTCATCTCCTATCGAAACATTATGCTTTATAATAAATTACCACACTCCATAATATTGTGTGTTAACAAATAATTTCTCGTTACACAATGAATTTCAGGAAGGTAATAAAAAGAAGAGTACAGTGAATTTATTATAAATATACATTTTTCAAAAATAGTTATTGAACAATTTAAATAATTACAATTATAATAATTATGTTTTTACTATTATAATTTCTTGTAAATTATTGGACTCGATAAATAATAATATCTGCTGCTACTTATATAAAATGAATACTATAACTTATTTTGAAAGTTAAACATTTTGTACTCTTTTAGAAATACAGAACATTAATTCCTTTTAAATAAAGAAAATTAGTAAGTAGTAGGCCTTTAAAGTTATTTGATGACTTTCAAATTAGATAAATAAATTATATGAAACTATGATCAAATACTTAGATAAAATAAAATTTTCAATAATAGGTAGACAGGCTAGGTTAGGTATACCAAGTAAATACTAAAGGGGACTTCTCAATGTTCTGTAAACCGTAAACCATGATTTCCGGGAAAAAAATTATCCGTAATTTGTGAAAATTATACATTTTTTTCATTTTTGAGGTGGAGTTGTGGACATAATGGCAAGTGGTAACTGGCTTCTGGACTGAATGAAACAATCACCTATCAGTTCAACATTTTATTTGACAATCATTTTCTTAACCAGTAACCACATAATTGTAACTTTCAACTTGTGTAGGCTTGAATTCTTCTTTCTGGTATCTACAATATAATTACATGGTATTTACTAATAACCAATATGGCTAGGTGTAACCACAAATATTCAGCCAATCATGGCACTGAATTTTATTCCAGAAATCACTGTTTACGGTTCACGGAGCCGTGTGAAGTCGCCTTAAGTCTATAACGAACTTAAAATGACTTGCACAGTTTTACGTATTATTTCTTGGTATAATAAATCATTATGGATAGTCCTCAGAAGTTAATTATTTTTATAATTTATAATTTACATCAACTCTCAATCATGGTAGTAACTTACACCCACTCTTTCCCAAGAGTACCTACATAGTGCATGTAGTTCAGTAGTTGCACTGCCCAAAAACCGAAGTAACACTTCTAAATATTTATACATTTAATTTTTTTAATTTGATACCTGCTATTTTTTTCTCCTAAATTAATTTTATTTTCACACTATAAAATATACTCTCAATCGACTGACAAGATCCTTATATCAAATGTAAGGTAAAATAAAGGGGTAAAAAATATTTGAGGAATAAATAATATCCAGAAAAGTAATTTCATTAGCATTTTTTTTGTACCTATTTTTGTTTTAGATATCCGGTTTTTAACTATCGACAATACTTTATTTTTAAATTGAAATCATCAAATATTACACATATTGCAAGTATGAAATGTGGCTAGGAGTTAAATATTCGTTTCGTTAATCACTGCCATTTCTGTGTATTCCGATGAGGCATCCAGGGTATAACACATAATAACAATTTGTATAAAAATAAACATTATGAGATACACCTAATATAAAATACAGTAGTACACAATATTCATCATTTCTAATCATAATTGTTCACATAGTTTTCATTAAAATATATAATATTTGATAATGGCATTGGACATCCAATCCTAATACGTAACTAGACGAAATTCAATAGTTATAAGATGCTCTAGTGCCTGGTCCTACACTACATAATAATTAATGGGAATAAGATTCCTTAAATAAAAAGATTAGAAATAAACTTTGAAGTGCTTAATAACACCCCCTAAGGTCTATAATTATACTGATGATGTTGTTTCGTCGTGTTACCTTTACGGAAAACGGGAGCCTCCCAACCTGTATAATATTTATTTGCAGTGTGTTATCAATTATTATATTAATTAAAATTGCATGTGTACCGGCCGCGTCGTTGCGTGCATATAAAATGTGCAGGTATGAAAATTGGAGCAAACCTGGTGAACACGGCATCGATGCGCAAAGCGGGGGCGGAACTTGTGGACGTTCCGGCAAAGGCATGCAAGGCATATAAATTCGGCTCAGACAAGTACTGGGCGTGTGTGGCCATGGAGTACACGGCCACCATATACCATCCGGTAGGCACGTGCAAGATGGGACCGGAACAGGACGAGGAAGCTGTCGTCGACCCGGAACTACGCGTGTATGGGGTCGCAGGTCTCAGAGTGGTGGACGCTTCCATCATGCCGACTATCGTCCGGGGAAACACGAACGCACCAACCATAATGATAGCGGAAAAGGCGTCAGACATGATCAAGGAAAAATGGCATCAGCATACGTCGACTGACGATAACGCGGCTGTATTCGACGAATAACGATCACAATCATATAATTATTAGTACTATATATATGGCGATCGTTTTTGCGTTCAGCGACATTGAGACCGTGGGCCACAGTTTCCAAAATGTAGTCATTTTTGAATTTTTTTTCTCATGTATTACTCTTAGAGGTGATCTACGTCTGACAATTCTGTTAGACTTACCCATCATACAAGCGCATATCACCATGAAATATTGTTTTTGAAAAAAATTCTGAAATTGAAAGAGTAAAAAATAAAACAATATAGTGAAGACGATCCTATATTTAAATGTTATCACATTTCTATAAATACACAGAGTGATTATTTAATGATGCTCACCCCTATTTTCAATTTAATAATACATTTATTCAAATTCTGATTTTTTGGAATTTTTATGTATACCAAAAAAACATATTTTTAAATTGCTGATATTTTTTATACTGTTTACGTTAGGAATGGTCTGTGGCGATATAAACTTCTATTTTTAAAATGAGAACTTTCTTTTTTTAGTGTAAATTATTTAGTGGATGATTTTCTTGAAAATATTGATGTATCTAAAGCAAAATTGTAATAAGTAATTTCTGAATTACTAAAATGTTTATGCTACTGAAACAGAAGTTTATATTATCACAGGATCAACCATAAGTGGTACAAAAAATTTCAAATATTCAAAAATATTTATCTTCAAGCCATATTGGTATTTCAAAAATCCCAAAAATCTGAATTTGAATGTATGTATATATTTTTAACTATATATATTATAATTTAATCATACAAATAGGGTGAGAGTGCTTAAAAAATTACCCAGTATAATATAATGATTACATTTGGAATTTATGTTGTACTCCAGTGCGCTAGTTCTGAATGCAGCAATCAAAATTTAGTGAAATGCTTAACCAAAAACCAAAAAGTATGCAATAGCTTGTTTTTTATATACTATTTTTGTGTTTCAACTACAATACACGGTATGATACAGTAGTTTATTATTAAATAAAATATAAAACTATTATAGTACGAAGTTTTTTTAAAAGATTTGAAGATATAAACATGCATTTTATCAGCATAACTTTGTTAGTTGAATAATAGTGTATTATTACAAGTTGATTTTTCTTTTTAATTTCATCGTGACAGTAATAATAAGTAGCTATCGTAATATATACACGGTTCGTGATGTGTGTGCATAATTCGCTTACTGCAATGTAGACTGCAGAACTTAACAGAAACAGGCCAATGTTGCACGTGTTCATCCATATATTACGAGAACGTATTCAAAAATAAATTATCGATCCAAAAACCTAAGTCAAAAATGTTGATCACATCATCAACCATCTGGTTAGTACTTTTTAAATTTCAAATCTATAAATTCATTAGAAACATAGAAAACTTCAAAACTGCAGAAAATTGTACGAAATACGTATCATCTATATAAGTATTGGATAAATTAAGGAAAAAAATTTCGATGAAATAGCTCAGCTGTAACATTCGTATAGTAGCATTTTTACTACATTTTGATAATCTATGACAACCCTTGACTTTTCATAGATTAAAACTGTTTGGACATAAAAAAAGTACCTACCTACAAAATTCTACGAAATGAATAATATAATATTCATTTAGAAGGGCGTTTTATCTATACATACTCATTATTCGCACATCATTACGAATTGAACCTGAACATATAAAATTTTCTACTTTTACATTATATAACATTGTATACACATAAATTTGCTAAAACCGAGTCCTCGTAATAATATGTATAAATGTGTTATATACTTCTATGTGGACTTATACCAGTTATTAGATACCTATTTAAATATTCGAAATCTCAATATTTTATCTCTCATTTTTATTTTTATTTTTTATTGGTATTATTGCACCAAGTAACATAATATTATGAAATTTTAAATTAAAAATTAAATAGATAAACTCATGTATAGGTATAGAGTAAGTTTATAAAAATTGAATATTGACTTTTAATTTCTTATTTTGATTATTAATTACAAGGCTACCTCAGAAAAAAATCATAAATTAGATTTATTTGTATTACTAGTTGGCACCTACGTCTAAAATAGAAACTAGAAAACCAATATGATCATAATAATTTGAAATCAGAATTATATTATATTATAATTTATTAATTATTTTTTGAATAACTACATTACCTGGGACTTAAGTAGGCACTTTATGTACCCTTTACCAAGGTACAAATATTTACTCAGATTTATTTTGTATGACGTCTATATTTTTGAAAAATAGGCATAACTTATGCATACTATACTAGTATACTATGTATCTAATTTATGATATTATTTGTATTATTATGTGTTAAAAATTTAAGGGTAGAATATGTGCACAAGCAAGAAATATTGATTATGTAGTATCATATTATCATTATTCTTTACACGGTTCTACTTTTATAATTTTATTTTTTTATTGTCTTATTATTTACATTTTTACATTTGAATGTATATAGTTTAATAACTATTTTAATCGATAGAAATAATAATTGCTCAATTTATTGTACAACGAAAACTACTTATTATTTATATACTAGTTATTTAACGTATAAGTATTAAAATATTGTAAAAGTTCACTAAAATAATATTATTTTACATTTTCGTGAAAAGTGTGAATGTAATAAATTTACAGTATAGATTTTCAATAACTTGAAATGTCCAATAATAAATTACACTTTTCAAAATATAATAAATTCACTGTATTTTTTAAAGAAGTGATTAATATTTTTTTAAATATATACAACTACTTACCTACTACAAATAAATTGATACATTTTAATTTAATTTAATAATTAAGGTTAATGTGAGATTCTGCCCATTTTTTTATCTTGATTTTTAAATGGTAGACTTTGTTGTTAGTTTGTTTTTCTATTGATTTTTTTGTATGGAGTTACAAATGTTGGTTTATAGTGCATGTATTAAATACTTAATATGTAAAATTTATAGAAAGACTATAGTTTGTATTCACCATAAATTAAAAAAATAATAATAACTCAGACATCTTGAATTTAATCGTTTTTTAATATACTACTTTTAATGTCATTATGATACTATAAAATATTTTTAGTTATTAAATTCTAAAGGACAGCAAACATTTTAAATTAAGAATTTAATAAAATGTTTTATAGCTTAATTATAATACTTTAAATATTTCCATGGTATTATAATTTTTTCAATGCGTACATATTTTGACATTATACTTATTAATATTTCTATATTTCTATTATTTTTATTAATACAATTTTTTGTTTTTATTTAACATAATCCTCGGAAACGGTGACCATTGGGACGAATTTACATATTAGGTATATTAATTTTTTTTCAGTAGATTAGCGGCAATGATGATTTTCATAGTAGCGGAGTCTGCGGAGACTGATTCGTCATCATTATTACTATGTAGGTATTTAAATAAGCCGTTATAGTATTTATAAGTTGACCTGAAGTCATTAAAAGAGGATGTCTCATTGAAACCTCGTAACGATTAAAAATTACTATGGAACGAGTACTATTACTATTTTATGTAATTTATAGTTTATATTGTACGACCAAAGTCCTTTTTTAAATAGATAAAATATAAAGTTTGTATTTACATTTGTAACATATAAGTGTGTAATGACAACAATAGTTCAGAAATAGAACAATAGGAAACAGAAAAATCAAATTATATAAAAAAATCAAAATTAGATATCAAAAGGGTGTGAAATTTGGGTACGTATTTATTGTATGGATTTTAGAACACAATGAAAAATTTTGGTATGACGTTCTCTTATAATTTCAAACTTTTGAGTATAAACTACATTTTAATAATTTATTAACCTTACATAAATTTTCTTTTTTGCTAAAATGTAAAATAAAATAGTTAATCATTTTCAAATAAAATCTTTTGAAACCATCATCAAAGTTCTTTTATTTTATGTTGTATAAATTAAAACTAAAAATGATTCAATAATACTGATATTTATAGTTTTGTAAAAATGAGAAAGTTATACACACGGTTTATGTTGTAAAATAATTAGTTGTTTCATATTTAGGTAAAATCTAACAGAGTAGGTATCATAATAACCAGCTCTTAGTGTGCATGGACAACACATATAATATGCAACAATATTCGTAGATAGTTACCTTCAGCATTAAAGACAGAGAACTTCTTAACAAGTTACCTATTATACTGCAATACCTGTAGCTTTACCTGCAGGCTGTAGTTATAACAAACTATACACAATTATTAAAGTAATTGTTTCTAAAATGTGTTAACTGTTAATAGCTTATAATAATACCTAAGTTAAATAATATCAATAGGCATTAATCTCCTAAATGCTGAAATAACCTTATCGTACAATTTCGGTAATTAGGTATAAAAGAAAGCAGATTCATAGATCATATTTTGTATAAACTGCAGGAGTTCTAAATTTATTTAAGATAATTGACTCATACACTATTGGTCACGCAATTATGGCAGCACCTACTTATAATGATTTTTTTCTCGACATCTTTTGTTTTAAAAATAATAACTCGTAATTATTCATGTAACTGTTTATGTTTTGTAACTACTGTCTTATTTTGATTTACTTAATATTACATGATAAGTTAAGTAGTCAAAGTAGGTACATAACAATAAACTAGGCAAATTACATAATTTGGACTAAGTCTTATGAAGTTTCAAGACTGAAATCAGACATTTTATATTTATTTTGTTAAATATAACATTTTATTAAACTAATATAGGTACTTAGTAGTTATCTTATAATCACTTGGTCCACAAAATACTTCAAGGATTTAGGTTAACATATCTTTCAAAAATAAATAAAATATAAACGGGGCACAAATCAATTTTGTTAAGAATAATTACATTGAAATGCGGATAACTATTAATATTGTTGGTTACTTAAGTGTATATTTTTATCAAGTATTTTCTTCAAAGTCAAAACATATGTTTATATAATAGCTTATATCATAATATGATGCATTCTATTCAATATACACTTAATTATAAATATAATCAAAAAATAGTATTTTATATTGGTACAAATCAGAATTATTGAAATCCTTTATTTTTACCAACAATTTATAAGTAATATCATTCAAAAATCAAAACCAACGTAATATTTACATTATCTATTATTTATAATTTAAAAATGCGTTACACTATTTTTAAATATGAGTAAAAAAAAATTGAAAAAATGCTAAATATTAAAATATGCAAGATAGGTTGTATATAATCTATATTATAAAGGTAAATTCATGTAAAGTCCAAACTAACTTATTCTTTATAATTATTGTGTATAAATATAAACTTGTAAGTGGAAATACAAATAATACAATAATGTATTATTTCTGTCATACGTCAGAACCTTTCAACCCAGCAACCTAGATCCCTGAAATGTCCTATCAGCTCTTGATTTATCATTGAAAGCAAACATTAAAAGAAAATCATAAGAAAATGTTAAATACTAACTGTAAGATATAATCTAATGTTATAAACATAAATCGAATGTAAAGTACAATTTTTGTAATATTTATTTAAGTTCAAGGGTGTCGTCAAATGGTCTTTGATGCCGTAGACGTTGTTTTTAAAACAATAATAATAATGTAGTAATATGCAATAGTATATTTTATATCTATAAGTACCCAGTTCTTTAAGATGAATACAAATTTAATTAAAAAATTGTGTTATATTCTCAATGCTGCCTGCAGCTATCGTGTAGGTTAGGATTAGGATTATCAAAGATTAATATTGAATATAATATTTATATTTATATATTATAATATTCTATAATTGGAGACTGTCAAATCTAATTCGATAAAGTATATGGAGTTACCTATGTGATACAGCAAAATAATACGATGAAACATATTTTAATATATAAACCATTAACATAAGGATAGAAAAGTTTAATATTTTGAACATTTAAAACATAAAAAATAAATAGACTAACCATTTCGGGTTTTTTCAATGGGGAATTTAAAATCGTGAGAAATAAAATTGGATAGGTATCTGCGCTAAATAGATAGGACAACTATGACTTGTTTGTTTGTTTTTTTAATGACTTCGGTTTGTGGCATTAGAATAATATGTAGATTGTAGGTACCTGAGAGGTGTCGATCAAAATTGCGTCATCGATCTCCACGGCCCACGATGGATCGAAAATTCGATGCTTATAGTTTGGGTTTTCGAAATGTAGTCGTGACACTCTATTTATCTTTTATGTATGGGATACAAATATTATTACATTATAGCCGTACATATAGTATCTGAAACGTGTCATACTCAGTCGTGTTATCGAACAATTTACGTATTAAAGCCCTCGCCTCACAAAGACAAGCTAATTACTCTTTGTTTTACAGTATTAAATATCGGACCATTATACCATACTATATACGAGGCCAGAGGCTTAATGATTTTGGTTTTTTGTTTAATAAGACTATGTCGTTTCGATTATTCATAACGTATATAATAGTGTTTGTAAAATCACATATGAACCATATTGTCTTGCAGCATTTTGTTCAATATTCATAATATTACATAATATGAGTATTGTTATCACCGATTTGTTTATAGGGTCTAAAATGATTGTTTTGCAAGTAGAAGTAATGATATTTTTGGCAGAGGCCTGAATGTTGAATTAAATAAAAAGCGACTAAACTCTTAAAAAAAACCAATCAATTATTGTTTAATTTTCAATGCAACGAATGAGTTACAAATTATAACATTACAATTTAAAAATGTACACCATTTAAACTTTTAGTAATACAAACCTAAACATAACCAGAATTTATATATAATTGGATGGAGAAATAAAAGGTTGCTTTCCATAATTCAGTTTCTCCAACTAGTAATAATTTATGTTAATAAACAAGAAATTCACATATAAAGTGTAATTATTCTTGCTAGTTTTTAAAATATGCTTATTAAATTAAGCATATCATATTGGCGATTATAACTAAAAAATTATGGAACTTTTATGAATATTTATAAATAATACATTGTTCTAAATTTGTTGTAAGTCACAAATTAATTTAACCATGTTTTTTTCATATTTTACTACGATTAGGTTGAAAGTGTTTACAATTTTTTAACGATTATTTTCTTCACAAATATTTCTTAACCAAGATATTACAGCACACTTTGTGTAACCGAAATGTTTGTGCCCGTTCGAGTGCTGCATAACATGAAATATTCAATATTCAAGTAATTAAATGTCTAAAAATCTTGTTCCTCGATTATTTTAACGCGCCCGGGGCGACTAACCCTCCTGCAGCACGCCCATAGAAGCTGCGTCATAAGCAGCGTTATCAAACAATGATGCACGTATCATGGACCTAATTGATTTACAGACAGTGTTTGGTATTTCGATTTGCCATCGATTCGTCACGCTCGGTTAAAAATGTGGTGCATTATTATAGTGTATAGTACGTCGCATTCGTCTGTTTACAATTGCAAACGGTCTCGTTGAATAACACACGAGGCGAATTAACGCTATGGGTAATAATACCATTAAAATAGGTGTCGAGGCATCGACTCTATTGTCTGAAAAACACAATTATTTGCAACACATCAACCTAATAATGTGAGTAGTAATTGCAACGATTTATTAAGATATAAAAGTAGGTGTACAGCGTATTAATTTATCTCAATTTGCGGTAATGACTGGTACGAATGCGTGATAATGTACATAATAATATCTAATAATCACAGTACTAATTAAGGTTTACTTTCGGTTTTTTTTTTTTTTAATTCTGCAATGTATCGCAGTAATAATATATTCTGCGATTAAATCCAAACACATCTATTATGCAGTCGTATACAATAATAAATACATCATCGATGCGTAATGTGCGTACGCGCCTATAACAATATTATGACGACGTGGTCGTTGGTCGCGCGCGGTGGTTACTTTCACTGCATGCACTCGACTGGGCCGGCAGTGGGGAGGGGCATCTACGGCGCTGCGACAGCCAAAGGGAAGAGGAAATGATTGCGGACGGACATGGCATCGCCACAGCCGACCGATAAACTCGCGTTCAAACGTCGGCGTGCGGCCACTGAAAAACGGTCGGCCGGTACTTGTCGGCTCTTGTTCGGATTTGTCGCTTGCGCACACCTCGGTCTCGGTATTTTTCGTCTTTACAGTTTCGAAATCAATCCGCCACTCTCCGATCCCGGACGAGTTTATCGAGAACTCCCGTCAAGTGGCTCAAAGTCTACAACGAATTTGGTTTTTAGCAGTTTTCACGTATTTCGTATCGTCCGTTGCTGCAGTGCGCCGCCTCTCGTCGAAGTCGGTAAATAACACAAAACCGTCGTTCGTCGTAATATAATACACCCGCCGCCGACGACGTACCTGCAAGTGTGCAACGAACGATACATAGGTAGCTGTTCGCTACCGCAACAGGACGTCCGCAGCAGGTAAATCATCAATATAACATATTATGTTGTAAGTTATTATATCTAACAATATTCGTGTACTCCACACCGGCATACCTTCGCGCGTATTGTATTATATTATGCGTGTGTGCGCGTGTGTGTTCATGTCATATAGTCGTGTTATAGAACTCGAGGGTCTTTATTGAACGCCTATCCGATTTTTATTTACGACCGTTTGGACGCAGTACGTGTTTGTAGGCCGAACCGAGAGACCCATCGATCGATTTATCTTGCACATCTCGTGCGTTTCGAATGCGATGGCGATTAGATACACCACACCGAGATGGTCGTCGAGAAAATAATGTAACATTGTGCCCACCGCCACTACCTGCTACAACGCATACCAGTAACCTGTGTTATAACATAATATTGCGATACCGTAAGAGTATAATATATAACGCGCTTTACCTTCCGGTCGTAGTGTTACTATACTCGATGGGATTTAATGTAATGTCCGAAGATATAAGATACATATAATATAATAATAATAATAATAATAATATTATAGGTGTATCATATTGGAACACGAGAACGAAAGTGGAATATTAACGACCGCAACCGGTTTACATGGTGCTGCACGTGTTCGTGCGATATCACGGTGATTTCAAATAACGTAGGTTTTGGCGTCGTAGGAATTGCTCACTTCCGGTTACCATCGCAGTTTTCTTCTTTAAGATAAGGCGTTTTCGATAGTTGTGCTAAAACGTGTATTAAAGTTGCGTAATCGAATTATCCTCGTGCATTGAACATTGTTTGGTGAAAAGTATTCGGCCGTCTGGCAATAACGACGAAATGTCATACAGGCACGTCATTTCGTTTGATCCGGTAAAACAAGAATAATTATTATTATAGAATACATATTTTCGTTTCGATAACTAATTATTATCATTGTTTAAAACAAATTCGCGTGTACGTCACCGAGATAACGCAACGAGACGGCCGCAAAGACATCGTGGTGTAGCAATAGCTACAGTTATGTCGTCAGTTTGTATATATGTATCTAAACGCTGTACCTAGTAAAGACAAAAATACCAAGTTGTATAAGGCTTTCACCAATAATAATCGGGTTATCATTAAATATTTGCTGTTCGTATGTAACTCCAGTCTTGTCGTATTGTCACGTACGCCAATAAATTGACTTAAATGGTGCCAACCGTTTGAACTTGTGACCATGAAATGTATACACCACCATAAGAACTATAGCATATGATCAACTTAATTATGTGTATATTGTTCTAGAACACAATTATTCGGGAGCTTATCGTACGTCAACGAGACTGGTTTAACAGTTTTTTAGGTTTTCCGACATATTATGAGTATACTAATTTTAGTGCACTATGCAATATTACTGCATTAATCACGGTTCATAAGTAATAATAATAAAAAAAAAAATTAAATACTTATCTTTCTACTAAATTACTAAAACAAGTGTCTGGTACCTAATTATACCCTATGATAATGACTACAATAAATTAATGCGAATATTATGTCACATATTTTTTTTTACTTAATTAAAAAGTGTTATGTATGCTTTGTGCTTTAGGGGAAACGAGAGAGTGGCCTTGGCCTTACTTAAGGAGAGGGAACGTTTATGTCATAAAATGACACCATTTTGTGTCCACGCTCATTGCAAAATAGTGTAAAAATAAAACAGTCACGTGCATGTGGTTAATTATTTTTTTCATTATTATTTAACAAATAATAACATTTTTAAAATGGACTAAAAAATATTTCAGTTATGCCTGACGGACTCGTGTATATTCATATATAATTAAATATACTAGGTTCCTGCATAAGCTTAATTGTTGTTGTGAAATAAATCTGAACAACATAGAGTATAATTTATTATAAAAACTGAAATTTAAACAAAATAACAGCCTATATTTTATGTCCATATTTTATAGTGTAGGTACAAGCTTTCTAACAAAAAAATAATAATTTACGTAAAATAAATATTGAAAAAAAAATAGGCACCTATGAATATAAACCGCCTATTAGCTTAGAACATATGATTACGTAGGTACATATTATAAAAAAACCATATTATAGATGACAGGTTACAGCTCATAATAATAATTACAACTTGATATTGGATACCTATGGGTACTATGTTAAAAGGTTGAGTATGTTACACCATTATTAAACGCGTCATGCATAATGAAAACGCGATGATTTTCGTTGAATAAATACATCTGTCATTCACGAACAACAAGCACGCATATAATATATATATTTAAAATAGTAAAAATTTCATTTCATAGTGTCACAGACTTATTTCGTGACTGTAACTGCTCGTACGATTATATATAATATATATATAAATATATATAATATTAATACATATATATCAGTTCAAGTTCGGCTATATAATAATATTATCATTAAATTTAGTAAATATTAATAAAAACTGAAAGTGTTGACCATGAACTCTGTATAAGCCACCGCATTAAGTAAATATTGTTTCACGAATCGTGTCATTCAGTAAATTTCTCTTTCACTATATTATAATGCATCTAGATAAAAGTGTTAATAATTAATTACTTATCGTTATAAAGCTTTTCAATAGCCAATTTGATTTGTCTCTGGGCGCAGTCATTATTATCATCCAATATTATGACAATTTAGTCGTGCCAATGTCTTGGGTAGGTAGGTAGTTATTAATAATATTTAGTTGCCGAGAGGTATGCTTCCGATAGAAGTATAATCAAGAAATCCGAATAATCAACCTGTTATATATTCTAACCCAACCAAAACGTTTTGTAAAAACCAGACTCCACTTGAAATTATTCATCACGCACCGGAACTACATTATAGAATCTTCTAGTTGAATTCCTACATTCCAACACTTTTTTTTTTTAATAGTCTAGACCCACATATCGTAACATCAATGCTGTAGAAATATTTTCCTGTATATGTATTGTTTTAAGTGGCATGCAGTATAGAAAATACCAAATTTGGGTACCACTGCTAAGTGAATATTCAATCCTCAATCTTTCGTCGAATGCTAAAGTACATAATATACATGTTACAACTATGCAGGGCTACAACGTATATCACATTTTTTTAATAGTTCTTACCTATATAATGTTCTTAATGTCACCTAAATTGTTTACATTTTATTGAAATAGTCAAGTAAATAATACAAATTGGATTATTAAGAATAGTTATATTAAAGTAAAATTATTGATAGCAAAGCAAACATTTCATTTTAATAACTCATATTTTTTTAAAACTTTATTTAAAAAATAAATGTAACTTATCTTTGTTTCTGTTTATGAGTTATATAATTTAGCTTAAAAATATAATTAATTAATACAAATAGTATAGATCTTTCTTGATATAACTAGAAGTTTAAGTTAAGCAACATCAATTATTTTTAACTCTGCTTCCCATCCGGAACATATACATTTATACTTCATAAATTAAAGAGAGTATTTAGAATAATTTTAGATTTAATATAACATTAGCTATTATTACGCAACTAAAAAGAAAAACCTCTTCTTTGAATTTAAAACTTTCCTATTTTTATGTAGATTTTTAAATTTACTGGCTTTGAAGAAACTTCTTCTGATATAATTCTAAATTATAACATACAATATTAACATTGCGTCTTTTTAAATAATATGACGAGTTGAATTAACTTAATATAAATTGATAACTGTTCAAGTATATCTATATATAGTTGTGAAACCGATGCCCACTTTGGTAACAAATTGAGTTTTGACTGTTAACAATAAAAACTACTTTTATCTTCCAAATTATACCAAACGTAAGACTCTACCACGGTTATTGTAATATAGCATAATAGTATTCATTTATTGTGAATGAACTACCTATAATTATTGTACATAGTACAACATAACATAACATAGTCCATTATAGGATGTACCTTTACTCTGTATTATATTATGTATTGTATCTGTATATTATGTCATTGTCGGGTAATTCACGGTGTACTCTGTTAAGATACACAATAATATTTAAAATTCCTAATTCATATGTTTGTTTGCAGGTTTACTTATCATATGGTTAAGGATAGAATGTGACGCCTAGACTCAAAATGGTGCACGCAGGCACGGTGCTCATAAGTGCCGTCAAGTTGGCAACCAAGGTGGCCGGTGGTGGAAAATTACTATTTTTGCCTACGTTCTTGGCCGCTTTAGCATATTACAATTATGACCTGTACGACCCAGAGAACCGTCTGGTGAACGAGAAGAACCTGAGATCCGAGTATGATTTCATAGTGGTGGGCGGTGGTTCGGCGGGCGCCGTGGTTGCCAACCGTCTGTCCGCAAACCCGGAATGGAACGTCCTGTTGCTGGAGGCTGGAGGACACGAGTCCGAGATAACAGACGTGCCAGCCATATCGCTGTACTTACATGGCAGCAAGTACGACTGGAAGTATAAGACACAGCCGGAAAGCTCTGCGTGCCAGGCGATGAAGGGCAGTCGGTGCTGTTGGACTCGGGGTAAGGTGATCGGTGGCTCTAGCGTGCTGAACACCATGCTGTACGTGCGGGGCAACAAGCGGGACTACGACAACTGGGAGAGCATGGGCAATCCCGGCTGGGGGTTCGAGGACGTGCTCCCGTACTTCAAAAAATCGCAGGATCAACGAAATCCGTACCTGGCCAAGAACACCAGATATCATTCTACTGGCGGATATCTGACCGTCCAAGACTCGCCGTGGAACACGCCTTTGGGTAAATCCAGATCTCAGACTATAAACTGTCCGGCGAAAGAATACGCCTCAGCCCGACGAAAACGTTTTTCCGAGCATTGTCACTCGGAAACCGGCTTCAGTTGAACCGGTTGCAGTGTGTAAAGATATGGAGATTGACGTATTCTCTCGGTGGACAGAGTGTAGTTACTTATAATGCGTTTTGGTGCACAAAAATAAACCATTGTTACGTGTGTTGAATCATACACAGTTACTTGGTGAAACAATGTTGGTATTCTTCTGACAGGCAGGCAGACGAGTGGATGGCAATTTGATATTTACGTGAACAGTTGAGAAATTCGAAAAGTGGGCGGGTTTTTTTTCTTCTTAATAATATTCCATGCCACAATACTCGTCCTTGGATCTGATGCATCGCCTTATAAAAGAGACGCTCTTATAACCGAATACAGCGTTAATATGTCATATTATTGTATCGGTAATATTGGTTACACGGCCAATGACAAACCTAATAGTGCAACGACGCGTGTGAAGCATTAACAATTAATTTTTATATTGTGTTAACTACAGTTAATTAACTAAACAATATTATTAATAATAGATGATATTATGATACAACGGAGCTTGTTATATTGGGGCTAAGAACAATAAAAAACATAATAAAGTAATAATTCAACACTAGTCACTACTTATGCAAGCTAAATGTAGCTGCTGTATCGCTTATATCATAACTAGATACTTTTTACCACAAACAAAAAGTAACTAGGTATTAGAATTGATTATTGAATTATTGTTTTGTGAAATAAGCTCTTATAATGCAAGTAACTAACTTGACAAAGTTACTTTATTTCTAAATTTAAAAACGGTAATTTATTTTATAGTTATTTTTTATCGAAACATGTTACCCCTTGAATATGAATAAATTACCCTAGTCTCTTTTCTATTTGGAATCGAATTTGTTTTTAGTTTCATGATAAAGAAGTCATTACCATGATTTTATCGATTGAATAAATTATTTTTTTAAATATGCTATTAACAGTATTTTATTTTATTGATATTTAACTCCGGTGTTGAACAGATTAATATACATTAGCTGGTATGGGGTATCGAAATTAATAACAACATGTGATTATTTTTTGATAAAAATAATTTATGCACATAAAAATCGAATTATTATTAGGATTGTAACAGTTGACACGTAATATCGTTGTGTGTTAATATGTATAATATATATGTGAAAAACAGAGATCGATATTAAAATGTTATTGGTAGGAGTGATTTAATCAAATGACTTGCAGCTCAAACCCGTTTATCGTACCTACCTAGTAGTCTGATACAATTATTATGTATCGGGTTCGTTTTGAACGTTGTTTCATGGAGCCGCGCCACTGTTGTCGGCACTCCGAAAATGGCTTACGGGACTTGCGTAATATTCCCGAGACTTCGGCGTGCTACAACAGTATACATAATACTAGTATTGCAATGCATACAAATTTTGCCATGCTAAGATTATGGGTTAAGTGGTGGATTTGAGGGAGGGGTGCTGGTCCACAAATGTATAATCGAGTTTTCTATGATGGCTTTGGTAGAAAAGTTTGAATGCACTCGTGTATCATCAAATATTATAAGCTTCCAGAAATCGTATCGAATTATTATCGCACTTATAAATTGGTCGCCAAATATCGAATTACCTTATAATGACGACTTCACCGCCTATCTGCTTACTGCCGTTACTGGTCTTTACTGTTTTCTGAGTCTAATAATATTGGTTTTTGATGCAGGCGTCGCTTTCTTGCAAGCCGGCGAAGAAATGGGTTACGAGATACGTGACATCAACAGTGAAATTCAGACCGGATACGGACTGTACCAGTTCACGATGCGTCGGGGTTACCGGTGCAGTTCGTCGAAGGCGTTTTTGCAACCAGTGAGGCTGCGCAGGAATCTGCACGTGGCCCTGTGGTCACACGTGACCAAAATTCTCATCGACCCCGACAGCAAACGGGCTTATGGCGTGGAGTTTGAACGGGACGGCCGAAAACGGGTTGCGCTGGCCAAAAGAGAAGTCGTGCTGTCCGCGGGCGCCATCAACAGTCCTCAATTGCTTATGCTCTCGGGTGAGGATTCGTGGTTATATCATCATTTCATCACATTATAATATCATCTGCCATTTTATAATCGTAACGTAATACCTACTCTGAAAGAAACGACTGAAATTTTAAGTGCATCTAAAACGAAAAGCAAATAATGGGACTATAATTATAAAAGAAAAATTGAAAATATTATAAAAATATTTGAATATCTAATATGAAACAAATCTAACAAAAAAACATATTTTAATTGGTTACACATTTTACAATAGAATATACGCTTTTACTTAAAACACATATCAGTAAAATCCTTATCAACTTATTATTTTTTTTATTAATAATATTGTGATGAAAAGTTAATGTGAAATTTCGTCTCAGCTAATATAATATGTATATAATACCATTGATTTTATTATATAAATATATTACATAGAATTAAAATATTATATCACAATGTTAAATTCAAAATCCAAATAACCATAATGTCGAAAGATTTTAATTTTGAATGAATCAAAAAATCGTATGAAAAAGCAAAATTACATTAAACATACAATTATGAAAACATTTTGATTCTTATTAACATTAAACATTTAAATTTTACATATTTACTGATATTTGAAGTTGTGCAATTTTGCGTGTGCGTGTACGTTACAAGATGCATAATATATAATAATATTAGGTATGCACGATAATATGTGGTCGGTTTTTTTTTTTGTGTCTACGTGAGTAGATACGCGTACGCGAGCAAGGGGATCCGCGTATAGATTTAACCACTCGGTGAAAGCAACAGTTTTGTAATCCGGCTTCTGATGACGATTCGCTCGCAGACCGTATACACCGTATATGCAATTAAAATGATTATGCCACTTGTTTTTTTTTTTTTTTTAACATTCTAGGCGTTGGACCGGAAGAACATCTAAGAAGTATCAATATACCGGTAATTCATCATTCACCGGGCGTCGGTGAAAACCTTATGGACCATGTGGCCGTTGGCGGCCTGGTCTTCCCCATCGACTATCCAGTTAGCTTGGTCATGAATCGTGTAGTCAATATACCCGCAGCATTAAGGTAAAATAAAAACATTCTTTCAATCTAGAACTAAAACGTATGTTAGTAAGACACTGCTGTGGAGCACTCGGTCCCTCGAAACGCCTCGTTACACCATTTTAAAAATTAATCTCACTTTGAAAAACAATTTTACAGACTAAACTGTACAGTGTAATTACATTAATGAGAGACACATCTAACGATGACGTAAGTTATAACTATTATGTTACATAAATGTATGTAATATAAAAAGATAAGTATAGGTACCTACCGAATACTAAGCAGAGGTTATAGGATTCGGGTGGGTGTTGGAAGAAGTTGTTCATTTAACTCATTATACTAACGATTCGTCATAGTCTATAGGTATATAAAGGTTTACATTTTTGAAACCCAATTTTGAAAAACTTGAAAACTTGATTTTTTTTTAATTAAAAAACTATTTAAGCATTAAAAGTTAATATATTAAAATATTTTTGAAATACCGGAGCAAATCTTATTATACAATTAAAATGCATAGGTAGGTATGTATAAATATGATTAAATATAAATAAATAATTACGCATACAGTTTCATTGAGAATCCTAGATGCTTGGTGTTACCAAAACTTTTACTCACCTTACGACTTTATGCAATTTTCTAGAAAAATTAAAAATGTATCATATTATGTAAAAATTTCAGTCTGTATGTGTGATTTGTGGAGCTTAATTACTAATACCTTATAAACCGTCCTTGTAACACCAATTTATTGATCGTTTTTTGAATCCTCTCATCCATTCAGGTAGAATCTAAATGTGGTGGGGCTCATACACGAAATATCGAAATCGCTATGACATGTTATTTGTAATATTATACGTAAAAATATCGACATTTGCATTTGATTTTCAAAAATACAACAATAATATTATAGGTGTGATATCAAAACAAATTTCAGTCGTTGAATATAATCATTAAGACCTAAATAGATGACAAAAAAGGGGGACAACGTAAACTATACCATAATAATATACAACTACTGTACCAAGTTTTTAAATTACAATCTGTCTTCTGCCACGTATGACGTCGGTGTTAAATATTACCATTACAATTAAACAGGCACGTAAATGGATGCTTATTTGGGGGGGGGGCGATCAGTGGCAAAGCCAGGGGGTTTTAGGAGTTCGCCCCCCTACTTTTCCTAAAAAAAAGGGGATATTGATAACTAGAGCCAACATTATTAATAAAATGAAAATAGTATCATTTTATAGTCATTATTATAAGTACTTGGTTTAATTATAATTGTGAAGCTTAATATTTAATTTAGTAAAGGCCACATAAAAAAAAAAAATAGTTACATGGTTACAGGTATATAATATAAAAAAAAATATAAATACAATTTTTATATTTAAAAATTAATGATATTTATAATATTAGGTCAGTATTTCTTTTTTTTATAGAAGCAAATTGTTTAATTATATCATTAACTGATATATCTATATATTAAAATTAACAATTTGCAATTTTCCAATTATCTGCAACTATTTAACATGTTTTTAAAAATATCAACTGTAAGCTGATTAGGTACTGATGAGATAAAAAAAAAAATGATAATACCATAGAGTAATAATGTAGTACTATGGATAAAACGAATTCACCGGGCGCGACGCGTGACATTCGGGTATTGAATATAAAAACGGTTTTTATCGTAATTATGGAATCGGTTACCGTATTTTGAATAGAGTGACCAATGACCATAAATAAAAGATCGATATAGTGACGCACGCAAGAACAATAATATTTTAGTATAATAATATTATTTGTAATCTATTGATGCACAGCACTACGGACTACGGTAGGTGGAGAAATATGGTCAGCGGCGGCCGGTGGTTTAAAGGTTCGTGTGGAATGTTCACAAACTAAAATTTACGTACCTAATTTTATTCAAGCCGTTTTCTGTTTATTATATACCTACTATTATACTATTGTCTATTAATTTTAATTAGTATATTACTATTATAGTAATACTATAATACTATAATACTATTATATTGTTTAATTTAGATGTTATATTTAATATTTTTTTTTTTTTTCGTTAATTATTAATTACTATATTACGGCCTTTGGGGGTGATCGCTCCTACCGCCCCCCTAAATTACGTGCCTGCAATTAAATGACGTTTCGTTAAAATGTGTATTCAAAAGGTATACACCAATCTTATAACTTATAAACTTAAAATAAATTTTTTTAAACTACTAATCATTCCAAAAGTTTTGACCTACATACAATTTTTATGATAATTTAAACATATAGTTACTCAAAATTCAGTTTTTTTATTTTATTAAGTTCATGTATTAATATCACAACTTCTGCTGTAGGTATGCCGTGCTGGGTGAAGGACCACTGACGTCTTCCATAGGATTGGAGACTGTGGCATTCATCACTACCAAATACGGTAATCAGTCGGACGACTGGCCTGACATCGAGTTCATGCTGACGTCTACGTCGACCAACTCGGACGGCGGAACGGCGGCTCGGAAGGCGCACTGTCTGCGCGACGATTTCTACAACGAGCTACTGGGAGACCTCAACAACAAGGACGTGTTCGGCGTGTTTCCGATGCTGTTGCGGCCCAAGAGCAGGGGTCGCATCCTGCTCCGAAGCAACAACCCTCACCAGTACCCGCTTTTGTACCACAACTATTTCTCACACCCCGAAGATCTGAGGGTGCTGCGAGAGGGCGTCAAGGCAGCGGTGGCGGTGGGTGAAACGACTGCCATGAAACGATTCGGCGCTCGATTCCACGCCAGACCCGTGCCCGGTTGCAAGACCCTCGAGCTGTTCACCGACGAGTATTGGGAGTGCGTGATACGTCAGTATACCATGACTATCTACCACATGTCTGGTAAGCACGTCCCGACAACCGGTGCCACAATATATTTAATTTTTTTTACCACTAGAAATGTTAAATGGCGCCAAGATTTTTAAACAAATTTTCGAATACAGACGATATTTATTTATATACATTATATACGTTATATTATTTTAGCAGTATATCATAATTAATCGATTCAATATCATTATCATATTATATATTTGCGTATCTAATCATATATGCGTTTTTCAGGGACATCTAAAATGGGACCGCCTACCGATCCTTTAGCAGTAGTCGATCCCAAGCTCAGAGTGTATGGAATTCAGGGCTTGAGAGTGATTGACGCCAGCATTATGCCTCAGATCACCAATGGTAACATCAATGCTCCGACAATAATGATTGGTGAGAAAGGTTCTGACATGATAATCAATTATTGGCATGGCGTTGACACGAGAAGGAGAAGGCGTAGAAGTGCCAATATTACTATTAGTTAGCCAATATTACCATCTGCAGCCTATTAGGTTAAGCCCTCGATCATCTCAATACTTATGTAAAGTTGTGTTGCTCAATTTTTATAAAAATGTATAGGTATGTAATTATAAGATCAAACGACTATTATGATTATTGATTATACTATTTTTATGGATAACTTCTTCTATACATCTTTAAAATTACATTTATGGTTTACGACTTATTAAAAACATTTTGTAATAAAATGTTGAATTACTTGTAAAACTTATCAAAACTAATTGTACGTTATTATTCACTCTAGTCTGGATATACATATTAGTATTATTATTATTACTATTTTATTTCTTATTGTTTTACAATACTTAATTGTGAATCACTTTTATATTTCTGTTGTATACTTACGCATTGTTTCAAAATTGATTGAATCATTTATACTCTAATTCCATTGTATTTGTTTTATGTATAACTATAGTACCTAGTATTTGTAAACTAACACTGTAAATCAAAATATTATGAACATGACTTGAGTAAACTACATTTAATAAGACCATTGGATGTCTACTTATAACAGAAAAATGTATTTGTATAATTATTTGAAATGTATTGGGTATTATGACTTTTTAAGATTGAATTTATCTACAATGGTACATTGTCCGATTGTCGCATCACATTTGTTTTAGCTACTTAGATAACAATATTTTAAAATATAGTAATATCATTAAAGTTATTCATAAAGCACAATATTCTATCTTTATTGCGTTTGCCATTGAGTATAGATTGTTAACTATACTCAATGGTTATATTTAATATCAGATTTTACTGTGAGTTAAACATTGATGTAGAGTGATAAAAATTTAATTTAATACAGAACTTAAATTTTAATTTCAAGCGTAATAATATATTTTATTAATAATTTAATGTTCATATTTTATAACTATGGGACTTTCTAATGAAAATATAATAACATGTTATCATGGATTTTGCCTTATACTTTTTTAGTATAAGGTTATATATATATTGTATATAAATTATGTTATAAATGACAGGTGACAGGTTATGATAGTTCATAATAATAATAATAATTGTGTAGTGGTTATCGAATACCTATTACCTATCCATGACATATTGGTACCAATCGGTTATAAAAATAAATCAAATAATAAGTAAAGTAATGAATATAATTAATTATAAAAAACTAAAAAGCTTATAATACAAAAATTCAACTATTTATTAATTGCAAAAAGAAGTACAAAAATATGTATTTCTGTTTTTGTTAATATGAAAATTAACTTTTGTGGGATGGACTCGAACGGTTCGTTTTCAAGGCGTTACAAATAGGCAATTTATGTATACATTGAATTGAATTGAATTAATTCAAACAGTTGAACCTACTTATTGTATATTTTATTCATATCAAGTTAAATATTTGAAATCAACTAAATACCTATGCATGTTGTATGTATTTTACTCAACATTTTTTTTAAATCACTAACTTTATTAATAGATAATAATTATCAAACGTATACACGATAATATTATTATTTTATAAATAATAAAATTCAATTTTATAAACAATAATAACAATTCGGTCTGACACTTAGAACTAAGAATTTAACATTTTTAATACAGCCCAAAATTACTACAAATAAGGTACCAATTAGTTGTAACAAAAATTAAAAATTAGGTGCAAGTTAAAATATTTTACAAAATATAAAATTTAATATAACAGACTTAATTATTTGAGCTATTAACCTACCCCAGACAAAGTGTTATAATTTGTCAAAATAGACATTCTATCTAGTTGAAAAAGGTGCTTATAGCCAATAATTTTGTCTGCACTCCAATATTCAAATAGACTCCACAACATTCCTACATTAATTTATTTTAAATATGTTCACACATTAAAAACGAGTAAGCAAGCAAGTAAAAAAACATAAAAATTCAAATTGATTATATTCCATTATATTATTAATCGTTATATTATGAAGAACACGCACAATACGTATTCATACCAATATTACCAATATTAAGTTGATCATATTTGACACAATGGCACCATCGAACAATTGTCAAGTTTGGCACTCCAGGATATTTACTAGATAACATGCTAAATTGTCTGTACGTTAATCCAGCCCAGGCCATTCTTAGTTCCTTGCAAGACTCTCGTGGCAAATTCAAGCTACAGTTTCCGGAATAAACTTAAGGTCAACACACACTGCAGTGGTGGCGATAAAATTCTTTTTTTCTTGGTGGTGCCACCGCGGTGCCCGTGCATTGTGTCCGGACTCATTTTAACGCTACCGCTTCCGCTGCAGTTTCTCATACAGTTTGGATCCCGATTTGGAATTATAATAAGGATACATGTGGGCTCTTATTTTTTTTTAATAATATGCAAAAATATGCTCTTATACCCAAAATATATGCATTTTAATATTTTTTTTTAAATTTCTTCCATAAATAATAATTCAACAAAATTAGATAAACTTAATTTTTTAATTATAGACATTGAATTTAAACATTTATTAAAGAACAGTAAATATTTAATAAAGAGCAATCCATGTTTTTATTAAAGTTGGAATAGTGCTTCGACTTTTCGGCATTTTAAAATTTATAAATTATAATGAAATGAAAATTTTAATTTATAAATTTACGGAACGCGAATTACGAATTGATATATGGGCATTAGTGCACAATTTACTGACGATAACATACGGAGAATAACATTTATTTCCCAAAAATACGTGATGAACTAATAATTTCAACGATGAAATTGAAACAAAATAATTGGCTTAATAAACTTTTATACAAAATATGCTTGAATATGCAAAAATGTTCAAATATGCAGTCATCTCTAAAATATGCATTTATATGCAAAATAAACTTTTTTCCATGCATTATCTGTTACACAAATCGTCCACATTTCTTACTCCCGTCGAAATGCATACACTCATTACAAATATGTAAATGCATACAAATCCGGACTCTATTTATAACCAGCAATATGAAATACCTAGACACCTAGTGCATAATATGAGATGGCTATTTTCATACAAATATGAATCACTGCCCAGTGGCTATGGCTAATCTCTGTCCATTGTTAAGTCCGATAAAGCAACTAGTTGATGTTGGGTTTTCCTTCTGTTTCAATATGTAGGTATGTTATTTACAACCAACAATATGAAATACCTAGTGCATAATATGAGATGGCTATTTTCATACGAATATAAATCACTATTCACTGCCCAGTGGTCTTGCCTTGGTAGTCAGTATTTTGCAGTAGAGGTGTTCGGCAATAATACAAGTGAATAAGAAAAGTTCAATTGCAATAAACTGGACGTGTAGAGTTTTTCACTTATTAATAATTATATGATTTTTTTTATTGAAGTCTACACTCCTAAACATTTTATAACTTAAATTTTTTCGACATTTTGTGTATTAGCAGGCCGAAGTCTGTAAAATGGATAGAAATGTTTTATTTCAACATTTTTTAAACTTAATTAGTTGTAAATTAAACTGTAATACATCCATCTTTATTTAATACCAAGGAACCATAATATTATTAATCAATATGCGTCACATGTTTTGTTCTAAAACACATCACCATAGGTACAGTACCTCACGTAACCGACCCAACGTACCTACTTAAAAGCACCACCTCGGTACCATCAATCTCAGAGAATGCGTACGAAGAGTCGAAGAATAATACATTTTGTAGATATTAATGATTTTAAATACTACAAATGTGCTTGATCAATTATGACGCAACCAATTAAATTCAAACGTGTATCCAATAAGGCGAAGGTACGGATTTTCTTTCATAGACGACTCGTAGAAGGTATAAGCCATGTCGATAAGAGATAATTAGTACCTATGCTTTTTTAGTCTTAAACGCACATTTTAATAAACGTGTAGTTGATAAAATTTGCGAGAGGAGATTGCTGCTATTACGTGCACAGTTTTCAAGGACCGTTATAAAGTGAAACGAAAAGTGTATTAAACTTGTATATTCGTATATATATATATATATATGATAATATTATACGTAGGTATATTATAGGTGTACACACGAAACCCGAACCCGCCGGGTCGTGACCACTTTCACGTAGGTATACGCGTATATTTATTTACTCGCGTCGGCCGGGAAGTGAAATATAAAAAAAAATTTGAACGCACAAATCTTACGGTAATACGCGACGGGCACGTTAATATCGTACGCGGCGGCGGCGGCGGTGGCGGTCTGCGTTCAATTCCGCGCGTATATAATATAATATAATGTGTAATTTATATATATATATATATAAATATCACACCATTATAGAAATGCATTGCCGCGGTGGTGGGACTCGGGCCCCGGCGAAACTGCCGCAGTCGTCTAGTCTCGTCTCGGAAGAACTCTCACTCGTCCTCGAGAGCGTCGCGTCCCCATATAGTCGTCTTGCTATTATTATTATTTTTATTATTTTTATTTTTATTATTATTATTATTAGTAGTGGTAGTGGTAGAGTAGCAGTAGAGTAGTAGTAGAAGAACAGCGATAGTAGTATTATTATCGTTATTATTTTATTATTTTTAGTTGGCGTTTACGGTTTTAGAAAGCAATAGTCGTAGTTGTCGTGATGGTGGACGCCGGGTACCCGGACGAGTGCAGGTACAGTCGTCGGCGTTCGTGCCTATCGTGGACCGGAAAATCGGTCGTAAAAACATGAAGACCGCCACGCGGGTCGGTCAGTGTGCCCCGAACGGATATTGTCCACGACAAGACGGTACGACCGCGACCGCGACCGCGGTACTGTTCCGATAACGCTCGAGTTTTACAGTATATTTTAAACGATATTATTAACAGTGTCGTCGTTCGTCGCGTAGATCTCGTCGGTGCCGAAGATCAATCGCAGGTCATATACAAATTTACAGATCAAAACCGAAAGCACCGGCAATGGCGTCGTTGATATCCGGTGCCATGAACAGCGCCGCATGGACCGGAGCCGGCATGATACCCGTGTTCGTCGTCGGGTTGGCATACCTCCGGTATTCAATGTACGACCCCGAGTCACGTGTGGTAGACGTCCAAGAGGTAAATATTGCATTCGTCTATACACTTAAGCCCTCGTCCAGTGTAGACTCCAGATTTTACGATTTTAACCATAGTCGGATTTCGTACTCTGGATTTGTGGGTGTCAGAAACATCTGCGCGGATTCCCTGTAATTAACACACCTTCTTCCACCCCAATCACTCTCAGGGTGTGTTTTTTTTGTCAGGCGTAGCAACCGAATCGTCCCTTCTTATCGACTTCTAACATTTGATAGGTAGTTATATATTTTTCGACCGATGCGTTCTATTAAGGGGGAAATTTAACATTGATTTTATTTTCACTTGATCGGTGGGAAACTATAATATTATGGTTTATAAATGGTCCGATCGACTCACAGACGTCTGCACTTTAAATGTCATTATTCTTTTTTTAATTTGGGTAATTTTTCATCCCAGTCTGTAATTATTCTTTATTATTGTCACTGTCTAGTTCCCATAATAATGTGCTAATTTGTGTAGATCGAAGACGAATGACCGCAAGTGGATATAATTTACATCCAAAAATCAAATAATTTTGCACGACGGTAGTCGATTTGAGGGCACCTCATTCAGATAATGTATGATATCACGCTGAAATATCGACTACAATAGATTACTTCTAGTATCGTTGTTGTTACTTGTTGTGTTCCCATACCTATTTTTTTCGGATTACAATATATATTTTTTCCATTCTTGTTGCAAGCAAAAATAATAATGTTTTTTTTTTTTTAAGAGTCTTTATTTGGTATTTGAGAATGAGGTTGACATTACTATTATTGTTATCATCATCCTTTTTTATGATCATTTAATAACATATTATACGGATAACAATATAACCGAATCAGATTCCTTTCACTGCCGTTAACCCTTTCAATTTACAGGTAAGGTCACGTGTCTTGTACAATGTATAAGATAGCTGTGGTATTTATCAATATCAATGACTGTATATGATTCGTCACCGCTCACCACAAAACGTAACGCTCCCAAATTTCTATACTATTCTATAATAGGTATAGTATACTTAAAACTTATACATACACCTAAAAGTATAATTCTGAAAAAATATCGTTGTCATTATTATCATAACAAATAAACCCACCCTTAACTTATTCACGAGGGATGATGAATTTTATTTTTGACTAATATATTCTTAATTTATTTGTTTTCGATATCCGCATAATCAATCATTTAGAAATCCGATTTTAGAGTTGGTTCCGCAATTCAGACGAAAGTTGTTATTATTATATAATTATGTAGGTACAGTGTACATAATAGTATGTACTTTATTATATATTTATGAAGGTACTTAATCAAACATAGCCAAGATTCGTTAATATTTTCCATTTTAATGGAAACCGTCAACCGGTTACCCATCACAACGTAATGATACTTCAACACCACAACACTTGGTGATACAAGAGAGTTTTATTTTTCAAAAAGTATACGAAAAACAATAAGTCATAATTGATGGCAATAAAACAATGTAACATAAAAAAGGTAGGAACTTTTTTTTATGAGAATCATTTCAGTCATTCATAATCCCTACTAGTGAAAATGTAAACAACTACAAGCTAGTTTTGTTTATATTGAACTATACACTCGCCTACACATTATACATACCTAGATATTATTACGATTTTTTTGTTAAACGTTTTATTCAATTATGATGATGAACAGTTGCTTTTCTTGTATACATTTGGTTTCACGTGATAGTATGAAATATTATATTATGATACCTATAAAGTATAAACCTATTAACAGGTTATCAAAAAAGTTACTTAATTATTATTATAGTGTGAATATGATTTAAATTTTTAAATGTCTTTGATGTATGTAAAAATGTACAATATATTGAACCATGAACCACAATTTATTTAAATACTTAAAGTCTTATTATAAGAGTACTATTACTTTAAATATTGGTTATATTTCTGAGATTAGTCTAAAAATCATACATCAAATTTTTGATAACCTAATTTTCATTTTTTAATCTTATGTTTTCTGATAAAAATAAATCTTCAAGTATCAAACAAATAATAATTATTAACTCAGTGATAAAACGGAAAAAATTATCTTAAAAATTATATTATTTTAATGTAATTACTAAAAAAATGTTAACACACCCTCTGATATAATATGAAATTTGCACATTTATAATTAACATTATTTACTAACTAAATTTGTAAAAATGGGCCAGTAATAAAATAAGGCAACTTGAGTAAGTTAAGTGAACATTAAGAACGTCAAACTATACTTTAATAATTAAAAATTAATCTATTTAACTCCAAAAATGAAAGGATTTTATGGTGAAACAAATAAATTTAACTCAGAAGAAGTTCGTTAATTTTTGTTTTTTGATATTAGTTTAAAGATTTGTATCTACATTTTTATATCTTGAAAGATATCTTGAAGTATACCACCTTCGGTTCCATTTAATCTGTCGTGTAAGTTTCATAATTGGATTTGTTGTCCATGATGAGGTAAGGTAATCCTGTGTCATTTTAAAGCTCTTAAACCAATGGAATTATTATTTTTTATGTATCATCTGTGCCACCTGTGGTGTTCAAGATTAAATAACTTTTAATTTTTTTTTTAAATGATTGTTAATTATTTTATTCAAAATGCATTCTATACTATTCCTTATTATTGCATATTAGCTTTGCGTATAGTAGCTTAATCGATTTAACAATTACCAGATTATGTCCTGTGTCCAATATTGATTATTAACTCAAAGAATACTATTTATTTTTATTCATAGAGTGATAGACAAAATAATTAATTAATTAGTATAGTAATTTATATCGTCATGTTACACTCATATCTATGTAAAAAACTAAAAACATGATTTTAACTTAATGTATGGTTTTTTTATAGTTAACTGGATAAAGTCAATTTTTTGTAAGGGACTCTTAAATAAGTTGAATTATCTAATTAATTCCAAATAACTAAATAGAAAAGTTAAATAAATTTTTTTCTATACTTTAACTAGTTAATTTCTACTTTTGTAAACTAGCCAATATTTAGTTACATAACGCATATCATTAATCTTAACATTGTTGTCTTTTATAATAAACTAGGTAGGTATAAATAATAGATATCGTCCATATTCTAGTCATTATTGTTGACATACCATTCATGAAATCGTTGATTAATAAAATGTTTGTACAAATGTACTGATAACTTTCATTTTTCATTCAAATAAGTTTATTTTCCAAATATTTAATTTATATTTCAATTGTAATTGTTTTTTTACAATTTAAAAATATAAGGCAAACAATTTTGATTTAATAACATTTATATGAAACAAAAAGATAAAATTGTCGAGTTAAAATATTTAAAAAAAAACATAGATAATATAATGAATCAACTGAAATTGTTTTGAGTTGGAGACTAAAGTGTAAAACCATTATGTTACTTTTATACGTGTGAATCGAATAAAAATAAAAATGTGGTTGTAGTTAAATCATCGTTATTCATTAATGTAACAACAATAAAGTATTATTTACTATGACTATGTTATATAATTGTAAGGATTTGGATTAATACATCGTTCAGATAATAAAATACTGGTTATTGAGTTAAACACGTACTTGATGATGTATGTAAATCCTAACACGATTACGTTTGGCTTAATAAATTATATTTTTACTACCTACATACTATCTTAATAGTACTCTGCATAATGTATACGTATTATGAAGTATAAGTAATAAACGTGCTGTACTTAAAATATTGTTTACTTTCACAGAAAGACCAGTAAATAATTTATCTTACAGTATGTTCGAATAGTTGTAAATTACGGCTCTATGTGATGAGTGATACTTTAGTGAATATTATACCTTTTTTATGCGTTAAATGCAACAATTTCACATGAATGTAATTTATATGTTAAATTACGATTAATAATGCAATTAGTTCCTCAATTCTTGGTAAAAAAAAAAAATATATATCTTGAAACTAAATGTGGGAAAATTATTTTTACCAAGCTCTAATATTCTAATTTCTAATTGTTGTTATAAATACATTTCAGTATTATTGTACCAATAAGTATACATTATGAGAAAATTGCATTCTATATTTTAAATAGAAGAAAATAAACCTAATGCCATTATATTATATTTATATATATATATAGAGTTGTAGCTCTACCACATTTTATTTTAATTTAAATGTGTTTTTAACAACGGCTTTTATAATATTATTTTTTAAATCAGGTTATTAAAATTGGTATTCTATTATTAAGTATTTATCATTCCCAGCTATTTAAATAATTTATTTCGTCCACGAATCTCATTTTTAAGCTAGGATATTAACATATAAATTAAATAACAGAAATAAGATGTTAATAATTGTAAATAGTTTCTATGGTAATATTATGACTCTATGAATAACAATATTCTTTTGGCAGATGTAGTTGAAAATTCGATTATTTATTATGCGTAATGTCATTATGAGTTATGACTTATGGTCATACATAATATTGTAATACTGTTATGACAAATTTCGTGTTCGTAAACAAGTAACATAACATTTTTAATTCATTAGCTCCAGTACATATTTAGAACGTTTTAAACTTGAAACAAAATAAAAATTGTGAATCGATATAATATAGGTATTTAAATTTTTGAATACTTATTTCTAGAAATCTAAAAATATTGTCTTGCAAATTATTGAATAAATTCGCTCAAAAAATCAATACGATTTTGTTATAACCGTCATTATTTGCTGTAGATACCTAAACAAAATATTTCTCATATTATATTCAAACCATATGTCATTGGTATACCTAGCCCATATTTTCAAAAAAATATTTTTTTTTTTAATTGTACGATATTGTTATTAACTGTTTATACGTGTTATATATTATTTATAAATATCTAAGTACTCTCTTTGTTATTTTTATACTTGTTGATTTTAATGTATGGTATATTTCGATTGTATTCAGTGACTGTACAATAGTTTCAGATGCCCTTGTCTCTCAAACGTAAACTCTCTACTAATAGATGTCTATTGTAGCTGTGTTTTGTATACAAACATTGTATTTTGTATTCGCCTCAGGTGGTATAAGTTAATCGTTAACATTTTAATCGATGAATGTAAAAACTAGGACTTACAGTTTATTATTATCCAGCTATTCATTATTGTATTATCATATTATTGTTCCAGTATTGATGTGTACAGCTAACCGATCATCAATGAAATTACAGCTGTTCTACATTATAGTTGAAAAAAAAATTAAACCAGTAGGTATTAGGTACATTATGTTATATTATGTATTCATACATCATACATATAACAGTAATAACTCTTCGTAAATGGTTCACCTGCCATTACGTCTTCTAAATTATAGTGTATTGAATGTCAAGTATCCATACAATGACATTTTCACAATGTGAATAATTGTTTATAAAATTGGTTACAAACAACAATACTGCAATACAATATAGCTTTTGCTGAAAACGAGGAACAAAATATTAGGTAGTGAAGACCGTGATACTACAACCTTGGTTGCAGTAGTAATGGCGGTGGCTATCAAAAAGCGTATTAGGTGTGCCGTCCAGCGCTTATGGATTATCATCTGTACGCTGACAATACGTCCGCTTTCTGCACACAACTGATTCATTGAAATATATTATATTGGAAATATGACTACTTTGAATAAAAAAACAAGACTTGTTTTAGATTTTAGATTTTAAACAAAAATTACATGTACATTAAAAAAATATTACATTGAAATAAATCAATTCATGAAACTACCAATCGTCTTATAATCTTACCTAATGATACTAATATACTATTAGAACTAATTTAGAATCAAACGTGATGTGTATAAAAATGTGTATGCAAAAATAACAATAGTTAATAGTAGGCAAGTACCCAACTAATTTACAAAGCAATGTGATGAGCTCGTCTTGAAAATTATAAATATTATTTCTTAGAATTATTATAATAATTAACTATTAAAAAAAAAAAAAAATTAAGATAATACAAAATATCTACGTTTACCATTTCACGAGAATAGTTGCCCTCGTTGAGGTCAATTTTTATTTTTCAAGTCTGATTTTCGGGCAAGAATAGTGGTCGTTGCACTGACAAAACAAAACATTATATAATATCATAATACATATCAAGGGACGTATAAATTGTAATTAAATTCTAATGTGATTTGGTGTTTCAGGTAAGGGAAGAATATGATTTCATAGTGGTGGGCGCAGGCTCAGCCGGGGCCGTAATAGCTAACCGGTTGTCGGAGATGCAAAACTGGACGGTGCTGGTGCTGGAGGCCGGCGGCGACGAGACGGAGATATCTGACGTTCCATCGTTCGTCGGCTACCTGCAGCTATCCGATATGGACTGGCAGTACAAGACGGCGCCGCCTTCCAGCGACAACCCATACTGCTTGGCCATGGTGCACGATCGGTGCAACTGGCCCCGCGGTAAAGTGCTGGGCGGTTCCAGCGTGCTCAACGCTATGGTGTACGTGCGGGGCAACAAACGGGACTACGACCAGTGGGCCGCTGCCGGAAACCCTGGCTGGGCGTACGCGGACGTACTACCGTACTTCCTCAAATCCGAGGACAACCGGAACCCATATCTGGCCCGGACCAAGTACCACGCTCGCGGTGGTTATCTGACAGTGTCGGAGGCGCCGTGGCGGACGCCACTGGCTACAGCGTTCGTCGCCGCTGGCGAGGAGCTGGGATATCAGAACCGCGACATCAATGGCCAGTACCAGAACGGATTCATGCTCACTCAGACCACCACGCGCCGCGGCAGCCGATGTAGCACCGCCAAAGCTTTTTTGCGGCCGATCCGCCTACGGTCCAACATCCATGTGTCGATGCACAGCCAGGTGACCCGGATACATTTTTCCGGCGGAAAAGGTAGTAGTGACAAGCTTCGGGCAACCGGTGTCACGTACTTACGGGACGGCAAGCGGCGCACGGTTACCGCCCGGAAGGAAGTGATACTTTCGGCGGGTGCCATCGGGTCGCCGCAGCTGCTCATGGTGTCGGGTGTCGGGCCGGCCGACCATCTGACAGAACTGGGCATCAAGTCGATCGTTGACCTGAAAGTGGGCCACAATCTGCAGGACCACGTGGGCCTGGGTGGGTTGACGTTTCTCATCGACGACCCGATAACGTTCAAAAAGTCTCGGTTCACCTCAGCGTCCGTGGCCCTCGACTACATAATGAACGAGAGGGGCCCTCTGACGTCCAGCGGCGTCGAGGGCCTAGCATTTGTCAACACCAAGTACGCTGACCCATCGGGTGAGTTCCCAGACATACAGTTCCATTTCGCTCCTAGTTCCGTCAACTCGGATGGCGATCAAATCCGAAAGATCACTGGGCTACGGGACGCCGTGTACAATACCGTGTACAAGCCGCTGGTGAACGCCGAGACGTGGACGCTGCTGCCACTGCTGTTGCGTCCCAAAAGCTCCGGATGGGTTCGGCTTAAATCCAAGAACCCGCTGGCGCATCCGGTCATCGAGCCTAACTATTTCGCGCACAAAGAAGACGTACAGGTGCTGGTTGACGGCATCCGGATCGCATTCAACGTGTCCAACACGGAAGCGTTTCGCAAATACAACTCTAGGCCGCTACTGACGCCCATGCCGGGGTGCAAGAAATTCGAGCTGTTCAGCGACGAGTACTGGGAATGCGCACTCCGGCACTTCACGTTCACCATTTACCACCCGGCCGGCACGTGCAAGATGGGCCCGGACACGGATCCCGACGCGGTGGTCGACCACCGGTTGCGTGTGCGAGGCATCGATGGGCTCCGGGTAGTAGACGCCTCTATCATGCCAAACATAATCAGTGGAAACCCCAACGCACCCGTCATCATGATCGGTGAAAAAGGAGCAGACATGATCAAAAAAGATTGGTTGACGTAGTCGTCCGTCAACCGGTTGTCGTCTGATCTGAGATGGCGTGGTGACCGTCCTTACGACGTGTTCCCTTCTTCCTACGATTTTGAAATGTGATTACGATGTGTCTTATTATTATTATTATTATTATTATTATTGTTTTTGTTGTTGTTATTGTTATTGATGTTGCTCAATCATTGTTGTATTTTGTGTATTTATAATTTGCATTAAATATTTGGATTATCCATCTGAATGGTTTAAAATATGTATATTTATTATATTCATTTATTATACAAGTACATATTATTATATAATACATACACGTAATATTGTATCAAATAACGCGTGTTTAGAGAAAACTTTCGTTGCGTCAGAAAATTCAAACCGACAAATTACTTCACTATAGTTTTTTTGTCACGTCCTATTAAACAAGAGTGCACTATTATAGTGCATTATTCGTAATATTATGGAGGCGATTTATGTGCAAAAATATTTTGCCTATACGAAGGAATACATTTCCAACAAACAATGTAATCTTTTTTAATATATTGATTATTTTTTTGATGACTCAAATATAAGAAGGTATTTTTTAAATGTCAATATCAAGTGAGATAATGTGTAGATTTAATATATAATGTAAATTGTATTAGTAGGTAATTAATTTTATTTTCTCTTTATTTTAAAAATTTTATGAAATGTACATAAAAATAAAATAATTATAGTATAATATTTTAGTATCTAATTAATATTATTCATTTTTTAATTAAAGTTTATAATAAAGTGTTTGGAAAATAGTGATATAAATGTATATATATATGTATGATAGTAATTTATTATGTAAACGAGTATAAAAAAGTATAAGAAGTTGTAGGTCCAATGGGACCAATGACTCATAGCAGTGGCGTCGAAGTCCATGTGAACGTCGGGCCATGGCCCGACCTCTTTTTTTAAAAATGTGTCCATGCGGCCACATTTTATTTACATCATAACTTTATTATGAGCATGAGTGTATTAAATCCACGTCACCGTGATTATGAGTAAATATATATTAGGGCAGGTACTTGAGGAACTTCTATATTAAATAATTAATATATTGAGGCCGCGAAGTTTCGAAATTTCCCGACCACATTTTCAAAACTTCGGCACCACTGACTCATAGGTAACTATTTTTAGTACAAAAATGTATACTAAACAATATATTATTTTTATATTATACTGTAATCGAAATGATTTAAGTTATTAAGTAAAGATTTAAATTCGATAAATCTAGATCAAATATTTGTTTTTGATGGCTGTTCAATATTTAACCTGAAACTGTTTTATACATTTTATTGTTTTGAATTGTAATTTATTTTTGAATTTAATAAAAAAAACTTACATAAATATTGGCTCCTCCTGTGAAACATGTGCTTGTATCTGTGCAGCGCCGGAGTGAGAATGGTGTAGCGTATCATCTTTGTCGCTCTGAACTAGAAGTACTGATTTTTATGAAATAATTCCGTAACTTTATCGGAACGAAATGGAAATTGACTATTACATTTTGTTTGTAATAATATAATTGAATTTACTTGATATTTTTCTACCTACACCGGTGGTGGCTTGTGGCCAAAAGACACACAGACAAATAAAAATAGTGCTCCTCCCAAAATATTGACCGAATAGTGACTGTACGGTACAGCAAAGCGTTCTTTCGACCGCTCTAGCGGCGATCCATTATTCACGTGTCGCCAGTTGGACATTTGGCATGGATACATTTTTTCCAGTGACTGGCTTCGTGGGGTCACCTTGGAGCAATAAGTTAGAGCCGTACCTACTGGTTATACATGCTCAAGCACTCCATGTCCATAGCTTCTCTACAATACGTTCAACGTGCTAGATGATCCACGTCGGCCGTCGACCACCGGTTGCGAGTGGGTGGTATTGACGGACTCTGAAAGGATTAATTCATCCAAAATGTTTTGAAAATATCATTTTGCTCATAAAATATAAACGTAGATGTCTTAAGTCAATTTATATTTTCGAACTACGAAAAAATAACTAAAATTGTTATTTTTTGTTTGAATAAAAATAACGTCCAAATTTGAACTTCATATACGCTAATAAAAATAAATCGTGTCCATGAATTTTAAATGTTTTTAAATTGCCAAAATAACAACTTGTGTGTGATATTGTATTACATTTAAAATCTTTTTAGCCGAGCTTCAAAATTTCGATCAACACAATAAAAAAAAAAAATTTTCGAAAATGTTAAATTCCTAAAAATAGCTAGAATTTTATTGTGTCTAAATATATTGTCATTATATTGTAGTATAAAAAATGATAATGTATGTAACAGTGAAATGTTCTAAGTTTCTGCGATTAATACTTATTGAGTTACAATAATAATGTTGTTTTTTTTAAGAAACTTGGTGAAAACCATTATAGTTTCAACAATTACAATATTAATAATAGTTAACAAAATCTCATACATTTTAACTACTCCGAGGTTTGGTTAGTCAACATATCAATTAGACCCATATCACCCATATACAGACACACACGAACGCATAGATTATTAAAACTTATAACCTTTTATCCGTGTCTTTCCACGTCGCCGAAACCCAATTTGCCGAATCCCAATTCGCCGACATCCCAGTTTGCCGACTTTCAATTCGCCAACACCCCAGTTCGCCGACTTATTAAAAAAATAAAAATAAATACAAATGTATCATGTATAAATGATTATTAATCCATTAAGTCAGTAGATACATTATTTAATTATTATATATAAAATAAAATGTATATATTTAATTTATAATTTATAAATTTATAAAATTATATATTAATAATAAAAATAAAATCTTTAAAAAATATAATGAAATAAATGTAATAAAAAAATGTACTACATATTTTAAATGATAACATACTAACCATTGGCACCATAACACCCATTACAAAACAGTACATATGTACTGGTTTTGTTGGATTATTCGAAATTTCCTCCTAATAATTTATAAATTTGTAATTTTTTTTTTATTTTTCTTAATTTTTTTTATTTTAATTAATACAAATATTACTTACTTTCAGTTTATTTCTAAAACCACGATTCGCTAACTCAACTCCATGTGTTGGATGATCGTGTTTTTTCGACAATACAAAATCGGTATTGTTTTTTAAAATAGCACGACCCCCGCAATTTTGAATACATTTATAATACTCAGTTGTGTCCCGTATTCTATCAATGCGATGAATAAAATTATCGACCACTAGTAAATCTCGTTCTTTTTCAGATTTGATTTTATACCATTCCATTTTTAATTAAATTTGTAATAAGAATAAAACACTTTTCAATATAGTTATCCTAAGGTTCGCTATAAAGACGGCTGGAGGACTGAACTAAATTCACCAATCTATACTACAAGTGGATTTTATATTTTTATGTGTGGAAAAACATTTAAACATCGAACTTATATCAATAATATACCATAATAATATTATCGCTATCTTATCCGTTTTCGATAAGATCATTGTCAACTGTCGGCGAATCGGGAAAATGAAAACTTTATTAATAATTTGTTGGCGAACCGAGACGTCGGCAAACTAGACTGTCGGCGAAAAGGGAATATTTTAAAAATATTTTAAAACTGGTATATTTGTCGGCAAATTGAGTTGTCGGTGAATTGGGATTCGGCAAAGTGGGTATGAACCCTTTTATCACATTGAAAAAATATCCATTGTTTTATTATAATAATTTATTATTAATAACTATATAAAATAACATAAATACATACTCGTAGAAATTATGTTTTTAAATTGTCGGAGATTTTGTTCGGGACACAGACCTTGAAATATTATCATCTTGTCTAGTTGTCTATACAAATAATAATTATTATAATAAATATCGTGTGTTTAAACCCGTATCGCTAGAAATTTAAAGAATAGCATTATTAAGAACACGAGTTGAAAACAAACGACGACCTTGTTTATCCTGCTAAATAACAATACTCAAAAAGCGAATCCGAAAAAATGTTTAGTGCATCACGTATAGAGAGAGTGCAACGAGTGCATTGTGGTTATGTAATAGACTGGCGAGTTATGTACATACCTACATAAGTTTATAACATAATATATACAAATATAACATTTAAATTCAGAGTGCATTGTGCATTTTATATAATATTACAACTATCATGGTCTTAATAATATAAACAATGGAATGAGTACGCGCTAGAGTTTCGTAGTAATTTGTACACCCTAATTTTTCGAGGCTTTAAATATTGTTGCTGTTATCGCTGTTGTTGTTATTATTTTTCTTTTTTAGTGATGTATAAAACTAGTTGGTTTATACTTTTGGACCGGCGTGTGAGCTGTGCATGGTCCGTCATCGACTTTCTAAAGAAAAAAGTAACTGCTACCGCCTTCGCCTCACGTGTACTCTCCTACACCACGTGGCGTCGACATGTTACACTTCGACGACGAACTGACAATAATAATAATGATAATAATAAGAGGTGACAATGATAATTATTGCTCTATTACGATAAATAGGTACCTACTGGATAGGTACTATAATAGGATGCGCAAGGACGCCTGTCTATCAGGAGAGATTTTTTAAATAACTTAATTTCGATAAGGGAAATATATTTTACCTATACTGACAAGAGATGGAAGTAATGAAAAATTAATGATTTAATATAAGATTGAAAATTATTTGACATCCACTCGACTTATTGTCTGTGGTTGAATGACCGACAACGCTATTCATTCCTATAATATGCTATGTACAACAGTACTAATGATATACCTATTAATCTTTTTGTCTTCGAGATGTATCGATGCAATAGTAATAATAGGTGCACTCGTAATTATTTAAGTGGTGTAGGTAGGTACTCGTAACAGATGTACTGCAGTAATGTTTGGAGTCCTCGTCGTGATGACTACTATAATAAATTATACCTATGATCCTACTACCCAAGATCTAGTCATTAACGAGTTATTAAATCAAAGAAAAATCGATCTTAACTTTCTAACTTAGTATTATGATCATGGTTTTATTTACTTATTTTTTACTATTATTTATGAGTATAAATAACAAGCCAACTTAAAATTGAGTGTCTCACTGAAGTTATATATACTTGCACTTAATTTATCATGAAGTTATTATTTTATATTTGTGAACTCATTGATATCACATAGAAACTGTATAGTTACATAAGAGTTAAGAATTAATAAGTAATAGTT